GCCCCGAGGCTGCCTGCGTTGCCCGCTTCTGGGCGCAGCCCGCAGCCCCTTAAATCGGGCAACGCCCTCGGGTTGCTGCCGCAGGCCATGGCCCTGACTTTAGCCATGGAGCGGAGGTCAATGCCGCCGACCCTCTCCAAGGGAGCCAAACCAAGTTCAAATTTACATGCGTTCCAGAAGCGAATTTCCACGGCACGGAGGGATTTTGAGGGATTTTGGGTCATTCGGGACCCCCCCAAAAAAGCATCATGAGCACGGACGTTGTTGAAAACTAGACCCCGAGGCCTATCTGGGCCCGGGCACCAATTTTTGCAGGTTGGAGGGCGTACCGGAAGAGCTCAGATTGGAGAAACGAACCCCCAATGATGCTGATGATGCTGGCCCCTTGGCCAGCATATCATTGGGGCTCCGTTTACCAATTTCAAGGTATCAGGCTGCAGCCATTTTGATGTTTGTATTTTTATGATGGCTTTTGGCTGGCACCAGGAGGGGTCAAACTAAAAAGGACCACATCTGGCCCAAACCCAAGCTTCTGAGCCCAGAACCATGGGTTTGGGCCAGATGTGGTAATTTTTGGTTGTCTTAGGAAGGGTTTATACCAAAAGTGACCTGATCTGGCCCAAACCCAGGTTCTGGGCCCGAGAACCTGGGTTTGGGCCAGATGTGGTTTTGGGTGTTTTGGGAGGGAACCCAAGAAAATTGGTTCAGCACTGAATCACTGACCGCTGCACGGCTCCCTCTTCATGCTGCCTGCGTTGCCCGCCCCTGGGCGCAGCCCCTTAAATAATACTCCCTATATAATCCCCACATATACATGCTGGTTTTGAGAAGCTGTCCGGGAGCAAGAGCTCATCGGTGACGGGCTCAAGGCCCGCTAATCCCCTGGTGCTTCTCGCCTTCGGCCAGGTTCTCAAAGCATGGAGATGGCATCCACCGAGGCATACACCGCTGGAAGCCAAGAACCTTTTCCACGCAGCCACAATTCGGGCCAGTGGTGAGAGCGCAGCGAACCTTTGGAGCCTTCATGAAGCCAAAGGACTTGCTGGCTAAAGTGAAACGCCTAGGACCTAGGAGGACTGGATTCGAAACACAGATCATGGCATCCCTTCCTGTCGCTTCGCACGGCATGTTTGGATTCGATTTAGGATCCTGTCCAGCTTTTCTGTGGGCTCACGACCGGCAAGTCGAACAGCAGCAATACGGCAATCCTCCTGCGGCAGGGGATAAAGAATCATGGCAGCTTCTCCATTCCCGGAAATGCTACGCGGCTTGTAGCCACTGTGGGCATGTTACTCCATGCTAATGCCAGGCCTAGGAGGCGCGCCGATAACCACCGGATTCGAAGCGTTAACTTCCTGGACCCTTCCGCTGCTTCGACATCTGGACCTTTTTCTCCTGAAGGATGGATGGGAACATGCAGGAGGCCCTTTGCACATCGTGCCTGCACACCCGCATGCTAAGGCAAGAGCCATGTAGTCAAAGGACTCATTCTTGCACTTCTCACGATCTTCGGCAAAGTTGGTCGGCGGGTCATCTTCCGCTCCATCGCCAGCACCTTGACGCGAAGTCGGCCTGCCTGCATTGGTCGGTGCCAGCGTGTGCGTGCTTCAACGACTCAGAAGAAACAAAGGGCCGTTGCACTGAGCAGACTCCGTATGGCAGCGCATGGCAAGTGTTGCTGGGCAGTCTCATCCAACAATTCACGCGGTGGCAGGCAAGCCTGTTCAAATCAAGTCTAAGGAACCATTCGTTTAAACCTTGAACATGCCGTAACTTCACAATTGCAACCCCTCTTGCATAAGCTATCTCCTACTCAAGTGGTCGACTCGACCTCTAATACTCGTGGCATCCAGAGTGACCAAAGGGGTAAGGAATGCTGGGAATACCTCTGCTCAGGGGAATTGGAATCGCGCTCTTGCCTTGGCCATCGGTCGCCTGCGCTCTGCAGTTTGAAGTCAAGAAATTGTGGTCGGAAAGGAGGCCTTTCTGTGCCTGGCCAAGTCACTGTGAACTTTGCGCTGCTACGATCTGTACTAATTAAGCATTGCCGGCCTCATTCTCGATCTTCTCGAAATCCCGTAAGATCTTCCTGTTGATCTTCCCGGCACTGATCCTGGTGACCACTCTTGAAGGACTTGGAAAAGGCCACAAATGCCAGGTGCCAGCCAAGCCACTGATCCGACACCCGCTTGATGAACTTCTTCACGGCAACTTCAAACTTCTTAAAGAAGACGGGCAAGTCGGCAGGGGCATCAACCTGACACTGTGCCAGCAAGAGCTGCATTCTTCTTCTGAAGTGGCCGAATTTTGAGTTAGTGTTCTGCCTAGGGGGCCACATCTCATGATTGAACATTACGAATGATGTTGCAGGCTAGGGGGGCTTTGTCCTGACAGCTGAAAGTAGCACATGTCACTGCGTCCTGAATGTGCCCGTAAGCGTTTGGCAAGCGTAATAATACTTGAGAGACTGCCCAATATCATTTCAAAGCACTTCAGCGCTTGCCTTTGCTGGGTCTTCGAACTTGGCGAGCACGTTACCCATTCTTGCCTTAGCAGATAAAGAGTTGAGAAGGGAGGCATCCAACAGCAAGGACTCCACCTACGTGGAAGGCCTTCCTCCGCCTGAGCATGTGGCAGCCCAGCGTTTCATGTGCTCGGACTGCAACGTCGTCTTCTGCAGGCGGACTCTGCAAGCCTGCAGCACTAGCAGCACAAAAAAAAAAAAACAATAGTTGAAACAAAACACATCGTCTCCTCGAGCGCTGACAAGTAAAGCCACATGTTGACAAATTCCTACCCCTCGCTGTGTGCTACACGTCCGACCTCCTGCTCTTCTATGGCTTCGTTTAGCTTCTGCTCAGCTTGTTCCAGCTCCTGCACGCTCCGAGAACTTTCGATCAGAATCCCCGGCGTGAGGCTTCACCATGCCAAATCCAAGACCAGGCAATTAGCATGCGCTAAATGAAGGGGTCCTTGTGCAGGGCCATTGGGTCGTTTGTGTGATCAACTGGCAGACCTGGAAGGCAGAAACTGCAAGCTGTGTGACACCCGCAACTTGCAGAAGGGTGATCAGAACCGGATTCGTCAAGCTGGTGCTGGTACCTTCCATCTCTTGCTTGAGCTTCTCATGCTTTTGTCTCAGCACCTGTCATGTAAATTGTCTCGTTGGGCCCTTAGATTCGTGAGTTGCTTCTCACATGCATGGGACCTCCAGGTTGACTTCGGCCTCCTTCACGGATGCTTTCAACTGCTCCTGTCGTGAAGTCTCTAGCTTCTGGTGCTAGCTGGGCTGAACTGCTATCTTGGACAGACAGCAGCTTCTAAGACTATTTGCAGGCAATGATGGATGCATGATCGGATAATTCGGTGGGCTTGCCAACTATGAGTCCTTGCCTACCGCATGGCTTCTACTCTATGTTAGAAACCCCAACATCTTCTGAGTACCTCCCTGCAATGATGGATGCAAAGAAGGGGTCTCATCACTTGTGTCGTGATCTGCGATGCAAGTCCAAGCAGACATTTGTTCACTGGGCCTGCTCAACATCACGGTTCAAGAATTTGTGGACGATGTCCATGACCTGCAAAAAGAGCTGCGCAGCTGATGGAGCGCCGTGTGAAACATGTTAGGTCACGCCCTAGCTATGCACGTTTAGGCTCCGTTTAGGTCAAGTCACATCTGCAAGACCCGTGACGTCCCGAATCTTCTGGAAATTGTCTTCAGTCGTCTGTGACCTTTCCACCTGCTCGAAGGTAGTCTTCTGCAGGAAATTCCTGGGAGCAGACTGGTTCCAGGTGATGTATCAAAAACATTACAGCCGAGAGGCCCGGAAAGCTTTTCGATGGCGTAGAGCTTCCGCAGTCGGCCAGCTGAGGCATTGAATGCTTCGTTTGCCGCATCTAAGGCGACCTGTCCAGACAGTACCACATGGGCCAAGGTTCCCCTGCTGAAGTACGTGTCATACATGCATGGCACCTCATGCCGCCAGCTGTTGAAATCGGCACGCCTCAAAGGAGCTGTGAGTGAGTAGATCCGCGTCGGTATGTAAGGGCTTTGCGCACATCACGCATCCAGAAGGTGTTTATCAAAGCTCTTCAGCAAACAAGGAGTGGAAACGATGCCTTTAGCTGCTCGCACCTGCAAGACCAAAATTTGTGAGAAGCGCGGGGGCCTGCCGTTAGCATCCTTTCTTTTCTCCAATTCGCCTCAGTTAAGTTACATGAGAATCGCACAGTGAGAGTGAAGGATTGTCAAGTCTGGTCTGCAGCTGTGGATCCGCCGATGGCCTCTAGTGCAGACTTGCGGACTTCGCGTTCCATGCTTGCCTGCCGAGCGTTACACGGTCCATAGGCTTGCCAAGAAAGGATTGCCCCAAAGAAAGATGCTAGCCTTCTGTCTCTATGGAAGTTGTTTTTCCAGAAATGCTGTGGATATATGAGCTACAATCAATATTTCCTACATAATTTGATGGACATGGCTTATTTCTTAGGGACTATATGAAGAACTATAACAGACTACAAGAGCCACCCCTAGGTCCACTGTCAAGGGTCCTTCAATAAGGCGAATGTTGACAGTAGCCCATATGTCCCCACGCTGTCTTTAGCAGAAAACGCGAACTCGCCTCATGCGCGTCTTGAACTTCTGGGGGCGTCTCAGGAACACTGCGTATGGGCAGCTTCTCAGTGATTATTTGTGCTGTAGTCTAAACCTTAAACGGGGTTAATACGGGGGGGATTATATGGGGAACTAATATGGGGGTTAGGTTTATTGGCGTGACTTGGCCCCTGCATTTTGCACATTCATGTCTATAAAAGTATGAATATACAGAAAGAAAGATACGCCGATAAACCTATAAGGTTTCTTGACTAATTATCTCACACATGCAATACTCAAGAGCGCCAGAAAACATTAAGTCATCCTCGCACTCATGCAATAATTGAGATCCTTCCAAAAATCAGAAACTAATTGTCTTTCCCACATACTACTTGGGGACCCCAAAAAACACACACACACAAATCCAGGCAGAATGTATCCATACCCTCACAAGTAGTTGCCTGGAGTTTTTGTGTTCTTGGTTTTTGGCTGGTGTTTTTTTTTTGAAGTGGTTCTTGATTTTTCGTTTGTTTGTCTGTTTGGGTTTTTTTCCACTTTGCCAAGCCGAATGGAAAGAAACAACACTTGCAAGGAACTGGATCTTTTGCAGCCGTCACGTCAATAGGGCTTCTTTCGCATATTTTTGCAAAGAAGAGAAATCTCTCTTCTGAAGAATATGAGATTGTTTCTACGCAAGAATTATGCGTAGCGCTTTAGGAAAATTGAAACCATCTTGAAATGCAAAAAACTGCGTGTCTCAATTAAAAGCATGAAACTCTCTCCATATAAGGAGTGACTTCAAGCTCCAGTTGATTCCATTGAACTTCTACGGAATCCAAAAAACAACACCTGCAAGCAACTGGAGCTTCCACTTCTCTCAAGTCAATTGCATCTCTCTTGTATGTTTAGTATAGGGAAGAGAAAACTTTACTCAGTTCGTAGGAACATAGGTTTGGTTCCACTAGTGGCCAAGTTAAGGAAAGGTTGGTGGTTTTGGGTTCATTACTAGAGAGGCAGTCCCAAATCCTTCGCCCTGCAGTTTCTATATATAGAGCCCTTACCAAACTGGTTCCGAGTTACAGGAGAATTTTTTGACTGTTGGCTCCTCAGCCTTCTTACGAAAATCCTTTACTGAATATGCTTTGTATTGAAAGGAACTGACAAGTCCTGACCTTCTTGTTTTCTATTCCTACAAAAAAGCCCGCAATGCTTTGTTTTGAAATAAATGCGTGGGAATTGTGCCTCACATTTAAAAAGGAATTGTCAAATCCAAGGTTCTTATGATTCACCATATACATCTCTTAGTATATGTGCTGCATTCTAAGCAGCAATTCTCAAATCCTTGCTCCATTCGCCTTTCCCTATGTATAAACCCCAGACTAAAGGATCTTTGCATAGATAAATGAGAAGAAAAGGCTCCCAGGGCTTAAAGATTCCTGTTTAAAATTTTGAAACACACGTAGCAAGAAACTATCTAGATAATATCAGGAGCCCTGGATCTAAGACTTTTCTCTAAATTAGACCCTAAACCCGAAACCCTAAACCCTAAATACATCTAGTAATTAACACGCCTGTGCTACCGGCCTTGAATAGGCAAAGGGTAGCTAGTATACTGCTAGCATCGTTCAGATGAATGTGCAAAACGCAGGGGCCGAGCTACGACAATGAACCGCGGGTCATTAAGGGGGATATCATCTGTTTTCACGATGGATTATTGTGAATGACAAGCGCTTTTTTGGATTGTGTAGCTGCCTTCTGCCGTGCACCGAGGACTGGCCGTAGCTTCATTCGACAGCAGAGGCATCAACTAAGCTCTCTTCAACACTTGCTTGCGCGCCTATGGTAATCTAATTTCGCATGTCGAATGGCAATGCGGGTTGGCGCGGAATGTTTTTGAAAGACTGCCCCACTTCGAGCAGGATCAAACGAGCTCTAATGCTGTTCATGAGTAGTTACTCAGCAAGGTCCAACCTCCTCGCTGTACGACTCAAGAGTCTTGTGGATCTGAACTTTCGCACACCTCAAACGTGGGCTACGTTGCATTAGTGCAGGTGACCACTTGCCACTCATGCTGCAGTGGCACCAGCCTGGCTTGCTCGCTGTCGGATCGCTTCTGCTGCAACTCGCGCTTCTTCCTATCCAAGTGCTCCTGACTTCATGTCAGAGCTGAGGCTAGTCAACTCAACCGCCCAGTGGGGGAGGGCTCCTCCATCTGAAAGAGCTTCTGCTTTAGGATTGCTTGCTCACGCTGAGTCCGCTTCAGCATGTGCTCGTAAACTTTCCGGCTGGTCAATGCTTCCTTGCAGCGAGGCTGGAGCGTGCTCAATGAAGCATCTCGGGAAGCTACGGCAGTCCTTATTCTTCTTCATGACCTCTATGTACTGTTCTGAGAGAACGTTCCAGGTCTCGTCCATCTTCTTGGTCCAGTCACCTCAACAAAGGCTCAGGCCAGAGACACATGACGTTACCTCACCAAAATTCACTTCTGAGCTTGCTCAAAATCATCAACTTGCACAGCCAACATGCAGCAACAAACAAAATAAAACCGAGCAGAACAATTAACATGTTGCGATTTCAGCAGTGCCTGTAAATGCAAAAACTGAAAACGATGACCGAACAAGAGTCAGCAAGACTTTGAAAGCAACGGATCCAGCATGCGAAACAAAAGCAAAAAAAAGTAGGGAGAGCTCTGAGCTGAAACCGAAGTTCGTAGACGACTTGTTAGAGCTGTACCAATACTTACACTGCACGTGAAAGAAAGCCTGGTTGTGATGCAACATACCGCCTTTTGGTCCGCCGGGGCACCCTTGTTGAAGTGCTGCTGGTCTGCAGTCCGGATCTCCTCCCGGAGTCGATTTAGCCGCGCCTGTTTCGTCTCCGACTCCTCGTGCACTTGGTCGTACTGCTGATGCACCTTGTGGGAGCACAAGGCAGGGTTTTGCCTGTTTCCTGTGGCTTGCTTGCATCATGTTTAGAAGGGACTCACCTTGTTGTCTGCCACCCCTTGTAAGCTTCGGCCTTTTGCCACCGACTTTACAACTCTCCCCTCTACCAAAACACCTTGCCCACCATCAAGCGCACCTGCAAAATGTGACCAGCAATGATGTTAACACGCCAGAACTTGTGTGCAGCGAAGATGGCAATCCGCAATGTCAATAATGCGAAGCAGAGCCCAAGCCAAGCTGCGCACTGACGTCGCAGAAAACAAAAACAAAAGCAGAATCTTGATATTCGGCCGGGATGCTTGGATCAAGGCCTTCTTGACCTCCTCCAATGCACCATCATCTTTCGTTACCAAGGCATTGGTGGTTCGCTCCACAAGCCTCACACCAGATGCTGCTCTGCAGGTCACACTGCCACAGCAAAACCATGGCTGTTAACAAATTGTACACGGTACTAGCAGGCAATTTGGCAGTAGTAGTAGTAGTAGTAGTGGTGGTAGTGGTAGTAGTCGAAGTAGAAGTTGTAGTAGTAGTAGTAGTCGTCGTCGTCGTCGTCGTCGTCGTCGTCGTCGTCGTCGTCGTCGTCGTAGTCGTAGTCGTAGTAGTACTAGTAGTAGTACTAGTAGTACTAGTAGTAGTACTAGTAGTAGTAGTAGTAGTAGTAGGAGGAGGAGGAGGAGTAATAGAAACAACAACAACAACAACAACAGGAGGAAATTTGGTAGTAGTACTTGTTGTTGTTGTTGTTGCTGCTGCTGCTGTTGTTGTTGTTGTTGTTGTCATCGTCGTCCTCGTCATGGTCGTGGTCGTGGCGGCGGGGGCGGGGGCGGGGGCGGTGGTGGTGGTAGCATAAGAAGAAGAGCTGGCCTGATGAAGTCGTGGCTTCCGCTCCCCGGGTTGAAGGTCGGCGGCATCTTCTAAAACAGGGTGCGATGCAATTTGGAAAGCTGCTAAGATCTGCTAAGGTTGCCCTGAAGACGTTATGCTAAAACGGTCCGTGCCCTGAGACCTTCTCAATCTTATCTGAATTGCATTGTGAAACTGCTAAGGACCTAGAAAATGGCTAAAGCGGGGCCGCCACACATGCCAGAACTCCCACATCCATAGCATGGCAGCATGAACGCCGGCAACTACCGGCTATACCTGCACCCACTTGCTTTTCCGCAGTCATTTCCTCAGCCTTCTAGCTCGCAGGGCTAGGGCCAGCGTTGGAAGCGCAAGCAATGCCAGGCCTCCGCAGCATCTGTTACTGCAGAATTTCTCACGGGCCGAGGTTGGAAGCGGTTGCAAGTTTTAGCTTTCATCTAGTAATGGGCACGCACATGTTCACCTCAGCGGGGACTCGCATCACATCTCCCTAAAGAGCATTTTGCTGTAAGCTTGGCCTAGCAAACTCCAGGTCCAACAGTCGTGCTTCGGGCCATCTGGGCGGCCTGGGCGCACCACGTCATCATACGTTCACAACGCCACGCACAGCCTTAAAGCAGCCTTGGGAGATGGACCCACAGCTGAACGCTCTGCAGAGGTCTCTCGTTGCGACTCCTGTTGCGCCTTGGAGATCAGGGATTGATCGATCGGTATCGGTGAAATCTTGTCATGGTCCTGCGCCTCATCCGGGGCCTCAGATCCATTTTGGACCTCTCTAGCCTCTTTGGCTTCTCGCCCCCGACGGCGTGGCTGCTCTGCTGCTTTGCCTCGCCAGCTGAACAAATACTGTGGGTTGTCCCCTGGTCTGTCCAGTCCAAACAGATCATACATTTCATTGATCAGTGAAGCTTAGAAGTGACAAGCGGCGTTGGCGCTGCAGCCAAGTGCCATCCTGGATTTGGACAGGCTCTCACTCTGTCTGGGGCATGTCTGAAATGCGATTCTTGGGCTTGGGTCCACGTCCTCAGTCTGCCCAAAGGCTTCCATGTCGGAGCTGCGTCCGGCTGGCACCGCCTGGGCGTGGGCAAGGGAAGGACCTTGATGACCTCAATCAGCTCCACGCAAAAACATGCCCCTTTTAAGAATCTGCCAGCGCCCTTTGCTTGCTTCTGTCTAGGCCGGTCCAGCTTTTTTGCGCGACTGAGCACTCCTCTGCTCTTGCTAGGCATGTGCCCTGCAATTCATTATCTTGACAGCGCGCCATGCTCCCCTGTATCAGGACAGTCGTGTTCTGTAGTCTTTGGGTCAACCAGCACATTGTCACTCAAGGATACAATATCCCAGGGGCCTACCCAGTTACTATAGTAGCTTCCATTTTATTTTCCATTATCCCAATATATCCCCAATATACTATACAGGGGAGCCTCAGCACTGTAGGAGGCCAACTGCAGGCAGCTTAAAGCTGAACAGTGGTTCAGTTGAACGATCGCTCAGAGGGCTGCCGCAGATCGCAGCAACTAACTACTCATCCTCTTCGGAGTCATCCGACTTATAGCCGCCAAGGCCTCCAGGCAATTTTCAGCGCATACGTCCACCGGCTCGAATCAGTTTTATAATCTAGCAAAAGGTTTGATGTTGCAAGCTAGCAGAACTGCAGGAAAGGAGAGGCTGGCAGCTTAATCCGTGCTCTTGATTTATAAAGCCCCCTAGATTTAAAGACAATTCTTCGGGCCAAAGTAGGGGGTCAAAGACTACCTTACAGGCGGAAGTATGCTTTGGGCCGAAAACCCCCTGGATTTAAAGAAAATTATCCCCAAACCCTAAGAAATAAGGGTCCGCTTTCAATAAGATTCTAATGGAGTTTAATTGAATGTATAATGATTTGGCTTGGACCACGATCGGGGTTCCGTGGACGTCATTTACAATTGAAATCTCCTTCTGGCATCTGGGGCCCCTGAAATAAGGCATGCTTTTCTGCTAATTGAGGGGGGGGCCTTATCAATCAAGAGCACGGATTAAGCAAACCTAAACTTAGACAGACTCGTAGCAAATTTGCAGCGAACTAGAGACTAGTGTTGCTACAAAGGAATCAAGAGCTTGCTGAACGGCTAGAGGACTGGAAACTGCAGACCTCCTCCAGGACTAGAAAATCCGAAGGTTTCGGAGGATTCGAGATGGCCGATTTCCTATTACAACTCCGATAGAAGGAGGCCGAAAATCAATCGATCCTGTCTACAATGTCCACAAGCTGCTTGACCTGCAACAATCAAACCCCTACAATAACAAATCCATGCAACTAGTAATTTGGAGGCCACTTCTACTACAAGATTTGAAAAAACATCAGAACTTGCAGATGCAACAGTTCCTTGTAGACTTCTTGTTTCGCCAGACTTTAGAACCACAGCTCCAGCCAGCCCAAAAGAAGATGCTGCTTCAGCACCCTGCCAGCAAGGCCAAGCACAATCCCACAATCGGAACCTCCAATGCCGCCGCCAGCTGGCTCCGGCTCTTCGCTGGGCTTGGCCTCTCAATCGTTTCATAGATATTCTAACCTATTCTTCGCCACGACAGACTCGGACAAGCCTTACCCTTCTGTTTTTGTTGCCTTTCCCTGTTCGTTGTGTGTTCCGGATGCCCCTGGCCTCGGGCACCTGCTGTTCGGTCTTGGGCCTTTTCGCCTCCGGCTCCGGCCTGCACGGCTCACTGAAAGGACATGAAAGGACCCTTCCGGATGGCAGGTAAGACTTGCACATGGCATGCTACCCGGGATCATGCCGAGACGTTGCTGATCTTTTGCGAGTCAAGCGGCGTCTGGCTTTTTGCCCCTGGGTAGCAAGCAACACAGCAATACCCAGAAGAGCCGTGACAGCCAGGCAAGGCACCTTTCCAAAGAATGCACCTATGGTTCTAGCTGAGCAGCCGCCAACTTTCAGGAAGCTCGGAAGTTCCTTACTTCTCGGACACACGGGACATGATCGAATGTCCTCAACATGCTGTTTCACACAATCAGAGGCAATGCCAACATTTCCTGGCCTGGTGCCTAGAAGGTCAAGGTGCGAGAGCTGCTGAGCACGAATCATGGCGCTCTCTGTACTGTGTCACAACCTTCCTCTGTAGTCAAGCAGCGCGTTTTGTGTTTTTAGCTGCGGCGCGTTCGGCGACCAGAGATGCCAGTCCGGCCTGTCACACACAAGCACTGTGAGATACCACAAGCTTCAAGCCCAAGCGGCACAAGATGATACAAGATGTTTGGGCCTTGCTCGCCGCCTCTTTCTTTTGGCTCTCCTGCAGCTTCGCAAACTCGGCCAGCTCGTTGGCTCGCGCTCGACCTTCCTGCTTCACGGCCAGGCATTATCAGCCGCAAGCATTATGCAAGGAGTGCGACACGCCGCAGCCACAAAGAGAGATCCTTCGCGCGCTGCTGAAGAGCCTCCTTGTTTGGATCCTGACAGCAAGCAGGGAAATCCTTGCTTTAATGAACAAGCTCAAACCGCTCGAACCGCCAACACCCCCACATCAAGAACAGTTACCCTGACAGCTGAGCAGGTGCAGCTGGCGCACCTCATCAGTGATGCCAGCGGCTTGCGCCACCTCCTCTGAGCGACAAAGGTAGCAAGCAGCATGCAAGGGCTGACATTCCAAATCCTCATCAAAGCCGTCATCTTTCGTCAATGACACATCTTGCGTCCCGCGCTTCTCCCATCCTCCAGCATAACAGGTCCAAGCACATCGAAGGAAACTGCAAAAGCTTCCGTACACTTTCTCCAAGCGTGCACTCTCTCCAAGTGGCCGTTTGTTGAGAGCCCTCCACCGTAGTCTCTGGCTGACAGCCCTGCCATGAGTGCTGCAGCTCGCTGCCTCAAAGAAAATGCAGTCGTAGCACCATTAGGTACGCAGTGTACAGCTGGCATGGATGGTATGCTTGCAGCTGAGGCTCTATCTGTGCTCAGAGCATGGCTATGGAAGCTCTGCAAAGTAAGCCGACATGCTGCAGTTCAGTTCATCAGGCTATTGCAAGGATAGCCTGCAGATGAACTCTTCACAGCCTGTATTTCTGCACCAGACTGCCATGAAGCATTCCAAGGCAAGAGCAGGAGCCGGCAGGGAGAATCGGCCCCACTCCTTCAGCACCTCTTCATGCGCCGAGTCGGGCAGAGCATGCGGAAGAAGATGCCGGAGCTACATACACACATCGTGCTGCAAAGAGACATGAGCAAATGTCGCCCAGAAGGCGGATGCAATGCTAATACCGCCGAAGTTCATCTCTGTAACGACAAATCATCGTATCTTAGCCCGCGGCATCTTCGACGCTGGCCCGACCTTTCACTGACGGGTCTGAATGAGCTGTGGCAAAGGCCTTACCAAGAGAAGCTTAGATGACCAGCTGCATAACGCAGGCCAAGCTGCCATCTAGAATCTTGGCAACTTCGGCGGCCTGAGCCAGCTTTTGCAAAGCCTACCGCTTTAGCAACAGCAAACCAATCGGGGCAAAAAATGCTTTGAGACCTAAAGGACTGGCCTGGACCCATCGCTTTTTGGCCTCCTCCGGCCTGTGAGCCTCAAGTTGAATGGCCATTTCTCGAGAGGCCTCCAACGCCAACCTTGGAAGCATTCGGTACTTTCTACGAATAGGGGGCCTCAACATAGACCCCAGCATACTAAAGGCTACAGTCCGTACTGCTGGGACTGCCAAAAAAAAGAACCCCTAGCTTTTGGAAACCCAAATTTGGGAGCTATAGCACGCTGGATTGCCACGAACCTTGATTTTTCGGTGACACGCCCTCTTGCCTGCCGGCAGGTCAGTAGCAGGTGCCCACTCGAAGTCTATTGCTCCCGGGCTCTTAAAGGTCTGAGGGGTGCAGCTGAACTTCCACGTCAGACCATACAGGAAAAACAACGCCGATGACGGGCATGCGAGCCTCACTACTCAAAAGTAAAACCGGAGAGGTTCGCATCTAGGCGTAAAGACATCGGCCCGTGCACGTTCGCAGGGCAGGCAGGAACAAAATCCCAGGTGCAACCTGCAACAGCCCGTCGCTGCGAGTACTGATGTCTTGATATCACACCAGTTTACCATAATTTGCATGCATTCGATCTACTCTCTCACGCATCATCAGGTGAGGGAAGGAGACAACTGTACCAAGAAGCTGTCACCGAGGTCCTGCCCACCCTGCTCAAGGATGGCTCGCGAGGCCAGGGTCATCACCTTGTCTACGATGCCCGTATTGGTCTGGTCACGTGGCAAAGGTGGGCGACGCTCGTTGACATAGCGATTGTTGAATGGCTGCTGCCAGTTGTTTCCGGCAATCTTATGAGTCAGCTCATATGGGATCGCTCTCGCTCCGTGCATGACACCAATAACACCGGCGAGAGTTGCCGCCTGGTTGTCGCAGTCAAAGCCGGCAGCAATTGCGATGCCCGTAGTCCTTTTGAAGTCTCCGCCCCCGTACAAGAATGCCATAGCACCCATGGCCCCGTTCACCATCGCAGAGACCCCACAGTTCCAAGGGACTCCACCGCAATTGTTAGGGTAGTAAGTGTACTTATCCTTGATCTTGTACCACGTCGACCTCCAGTCGCTCGGATTCTGGGAATGCCAGTTTCGAACATCTTGGAGCGCACGGTAATAAGGGCTGTCTCCTGGCACCTTCCCCATGCCAATATCATACATCCTGGCGGGACAGGGAAGATGTTTTGATGGACTTCAGGATGCTAGAATTCTACAGGTCCTAACGGGCTTTGATGAAGGGTCGCTACATTACACCTCCCATTGTGAGGTCCTGTGGACGTCGTTGCTGAAGAAGGCAGCACTGTAGAGTGCTGCGTAGAAGCGGGTGGGGTGGGTGCCCCAAGAGTCGCTCGTGATCTTGGCTCCCCACTCTGCTCGGTCAACCGCCTGATCACACAGGGTATGTCAACTTCCACGCAACATTCAAATCGATCCCCCAATACATCCCCAGTATCTATGTTGTTGTCCATGTTCTTTTCCAGATGCGTCTTCACTATGAATAATCTCCCAAAACCGTAAACCCTAAATCATAGTTTCCATTTTCCATAGTTCTATATATCCCAGATAAAAACAGTACACTGCACACTTCGTCCTGTAGCCTTGTCAACCATGCCAGGATAAACAGCGCTCCAAAGCTCGTTCACCAGCTGTGGGTCAATGGTCCACCAGTACCTCTCAAGAAACTCCAAGTGTGGGATGAAGGTAGGTAGGTTGAAAGATCCAATCTGTAGACTCCATATTATCATTTTGGGGCATATTTCCTATACCCCACCTTCCTTCACTTCACCTTTTGAGCCCTCTGAGTACCTGTTCTGGCCCATCGAGCCGGTCTGTGGCGGGATCTGACCCCTGTTCATGTTTTCTCGCGCAACCTTGTTCGCGAACCAAAGTGCATCCCCACCATTCACCTGAATGTGGACATAGCTCCGCCAGTACCCGGCAATCTGCTTGTAGTCCAAGCCAAGCCCATGCTCCATCAAGGCGTGCAGCGTCACGAACTCAATGTCTGTATCATCCTCAGTAGGATTCAAGAGACCCAGCGTCACCAAACAAGAATGTCTGCTTCGAAAACGGACCGGTCTAGACTCTCAGCACTTGCCCAATCAGACGTCCCACCGCTTCCCATCACATGAGCTGCCACTGCACAAGCTGCTTGCTGCCATCAACTGGCTGCTGAGTGCTTGCATTAGGGAAAACCGTCTCCTCAGAGCCAAGCATCATCAGTGTAGGCTCCCTGCAGCTGATTTAACCTCTGCGGGATCCGTCCACGCCCATCGGAATTGCACCTGAGGCCTGAGGAGTGCGCCATGTGCTGGTCGTAGTAGGTCTGTGGTTCGATGGGCATGGGCGAATCGGTATAGAGAAACTCAAAGGGCAAGCCCATGAAGTTGCCGACAAGTTGGCCCACCCAGTAGCCCATCAGCTTGTCATACAGCACATGCTTGCTGATGGTGCGGCTGGCACCAGCCAAGGAGCCCAGGCCCAAGGTCTGGTTGTAGCCCCTGAGCTGAGCCTCCTCGGCACTCGCCGTAGCAGCACAGGTGAGGACAAGAAGCCAGGAGCGCGGCATGGTCGCTTGTTGTGAGAAAGCAGATTAGAACCAAATGCTCTCGGGTGTACAGTTTTGTGCGGCATTGTGCAGTTTTGTGCGGCACAGACAGTGTCAAGGCAAGATATGCATTGCTCATAACTCGCTGCCACTGCAGCACCATTCTATGCAGCATGTACCTGTAAATTGCAAGAGCTTGCAATCGCGGCACTGGCACGGCATGGAGAGAACAAGGTCGATCATGTCTAGCACGATCTTCTTCGCCTCCTAGCTGAAGGCTCAGCACTAATCCTGTCTTCAAACATGGCTGCAGGGGCCTCCGGGTCTGGGAAAGCGAATTCGTTCGCCAGCGCAAATGCCACACCGTGATGTGGGTGAGCTGATGCAAACCTGGGCAGTAACGGCTGGAATGGCATCAGAGATTTCATGCGGTCACTTTCAGGCAAGGCACCTGTGGCACTTCATCAGCTCGTGGCCTTCGTCTTCCTCTTCAAGGTCCCCGGATCTGGCGGCGAGAAGTGATGCCTTGGCCTTCCTGAGAAACAGGCCGAGAATGCTCCACAAATCGCTCACGTCACCATCGAAGCGAACGCAGACTACACGCTTCCTGCTGTCGCGCGGCGCCTCGCCTTCCAGCAGTCTCTGCTGAAGAGGCGGCGGTGCGGTTTGGCCGCAAACGCTGCAGATCAGCTCGCCGCTGAAGATAAAATCGCCTTCCAACGGCAAACGGCAAACGCAGTCTTGGCAGGTCTTGCCCCAGCGGAAGCTGTCTAGGGTTCAACCATCAGTCCGTGCGTCATGATGACTGAAGCTGCCTCGACAACCTTTGGTCAAGCAGCCAGAGAATCTTCGTGTGTCATCCTCAAGGGAAGAACAGCGAGGGCACTGGCACCTGCACCAGCGCCAAAGGCAAAAGCAAATGCTGCCCTAGCTCAGCTGCAGACCCCTTGCCTGAACTCGTACCGCTCCGCCAGCTCCTAACTAGCAAACGTCGAGCTAATGAACCCTGCTTGCAAGACAAATTCTCTAGAGGAATGACTTGCAAGATCCACCTTTCACTGCTGACAGGGAGCCGCTTGGCGCGCAGCTGTGTCCATCAAGAGTCCAGCATCATCCAAGTAGGACACTGTAAGCTCCTGTGATCCACGCACGTGCAATCAACGCCTGCGAGCGCTGCCCAATTCGCGACGTAACTACAGGACGCATGCACCCCCTACCCTCTGTGCTACGAGGACAGCAAACTTGAGATTTGCAAGTCTCCCTCCTCGCCAGATGCCACTGCGCGAACTGCGCGAAGGGTTCCAAGGTCTGCATCTACCAAGCCTAGTAAACCAAAAGTGCACAGGCTTCCGATTTCTAAGAGCTCATGTGGCAAGAGCGTCCAAGTGCTGCCAGGCAACAATTTGGCAGACAGGAGTGATTGGCCCTGGCCAAAGTGGGAAACACCACCTCGAGCTTGTGAGGTGCTGAAATTCCCTCTGCCAACAACACTGGGGTAATCCTCAAAACCATGGGCCTCTTTTGGTCGATTATACTACGGCATCTAATATTTGGGGTGTACCAAAATGGGACCGGAATTTGGGAGCCACCCACGATTTGCCATCTGCGCAAGTCCGATCTTTCAGGCCCTGCCTGGTCCTGGCCAGCTGGCCCAGCCCCGAAGGAGTTGAAGTGAAGCACCGAGCGCACAAAGAGTGAATCAGATGCTTCGGTCTCGGCGCGAGGACTTGCTCACGATTTTGCTGCCAAATTGTAATGTAAGCATTCACAATAGAAGCTGTAAGCAGACAGGTGATAATTTTACATGCGATCTGGCTGGAAGGATGACCAAAAACGAGGCAAATACTAAACGAGAATGGCGCCTCCTTGGTTGCTGCTCGCAGCCGCTGCACTGCTGGACTGGTGCTTTCCGGAGGAACGAAAAGGTTCTCCTCTGCCATTGCGCTGGTGAAGGCTCAAAGTGGAAGCGGAGCGCTTCATCTGTCCATGTCCTTTCGCAACTTTGGTGCAGCCGCCAATGCCTCGGCGCTTAGGCGCCGCAGGCGCGGCACACGGACCAACGGTGACTCGCACAGCACCAAATCCTTGGCTGGCTTCATAGGCTCAAGTTGTCCTTTATTTGTAGAAGAATCCTTGAACCAAGCCACACCCGGAGCGTACGGACACGTAGCACGGAGAAAAAGGCCCAACTCTGGGCGAGCATCATCGGCGACGACGGCAGGCAAGGCCATGGCAAGAATCACATCATGGCTACAAAGTGGCTCAGCCTTTACCTTGACTAGCTCACCCTTGCATATGAGTCACTAGCAGTACATGCGCAGAGGTATTACAAGAGTCTGAATTATCTTGCCCAGACCTCTTCGATTCCTGACCTGCTTGTAGAGTGCGAGTGTTTGTCAGCAAGAAGGCATGCTACGCAAGACGCCGAAGAGATCAAGGCAATTGAAGGACATGAGCACAATGCGGCACAAACGTGTGACATGCAAGTTCCTCCTTACCATCCTGATAATCTTGCATTGCACCTTGAAATGCACCGTCGGATTGGACACCTCATCGGCCTGGCGCTCATGGCAACGATGAAAAATCAGCAGGCCCCGTGTAAAGCAAAAAGGCCTTGCTGATGTTCTATTGCAATTCCACGTCTGCGCACACATTTAACGTTGGGCCTCCTCATCGGAATAGTCCTGAGAGCGCATTGCCAAGCACTTGAGATGGGAAGACATGACAAAGAAACAAGTGAGGGGAAGGTCTTTGGCACCTCCTCAATTGCTCCGGGCATAGGCGGGTCGCCATCATCCTGATTAAGATCCTATACTGCATGCTGCGATCTTGCGCGGGAAACCCTCACAGCGCTAGTGTCAACGCGCTAACACCCACCTCATCTGGCTGCATGACCCAGTCCTCGCATGATGTGCTACCCAGAACCTGCAGCGGGCCTCCATGAGAAATCGGGGCCCGAGCCAGGAAGTCAGCAATGGGCAAATCACCCTGGGACTTGCCACCCACAGATGCGAACCTGGGCCCACAGTATATCTTTATACCCCGGCTGTCTGACGCGGCAGAAAAGACAGCCAAGGTCACTAGCGCATTCGCAGGTAAACACCTGTCAGTTTCAGATCGCGCTTGCCGAGCTCCGCTTGGCTTGATAATTCAAACTATTCAAGAGATTCAAGCTCTGGATATGGAAGCAAGCCATCTGCTGCTCCATTGGTAGGGCGTGTTCAGAGAAGATCAGCTGCTAATGAGTGATTGGAGCTCTTGAACACGCCTTGCCACCTCGTCTTTAGATCATTGTCGCACCATGCAAACGAAGGCGTACCGCACGCTCACTTCAGCGATCTCCTTCGCTTGAGAGTCCTTGCATGATCAACTTGGATGAGAAACTGGTAACACTGCTACCCATGCCCACAGCTGCGGTCAAGACTCCGAGCAATGCACCAGGCTGCAAGAATCACGAGAAAAGATCCCAAATTTCCTTGCAGCATTTTCCCCAGCCTGCGAGCCAGGCAAAGGCCGTGCCAAAATTGAAAACATGCACATGGCGTGGCATTCATGACTTCAAGGCATCCAGGACGGCTGTCGCATGCGAACCACGTGTGAATAGGCAGCATTTCCTGGGCAGCAGTCCTGACGAGCAAGCTTTGGAGCGAACTTAGCCCCAAAGAAAACGTTCCAGTCGACGTCGCCGCCGAAGTGCTGGAAGACGTCTGCGCCACAGTGCCGACGTTGTGTCCAAGAGAAGCCTTAAGGTCTTCCTTTCGCCATGCCTGGGTACATGTCAAGCAGCTTTGCGAAACAGCAACTAGCCGGACGCATCCGCAAAACGCATCAGCCATGCAGCCTTGGCAACGACACCTGCCTCACTCCGGTCGTTGCACTTGCGGCACGCGTTTGCCTGCAGAAATCATCGAAGAGCAGCCCGAACAAAGTTACTGCGCACAGCATAGCCTGACTCTGTGTCAAACAAGTCCCTACAGCAATTTTATGTGGCACTATCTGACCGAAGAAAAGCTGTGTGCACTTCCTTCTGCGCTGAAGCTCGCATGCACGGCAGCTGCTACGTATACAAGGAGCACTCAACACATGTTCCCAGACGTACTCGACGTGCTTGTGGCCACGCCTTTCCCACGTTGTGGGCTAAGCCTGAAGGCCGATGCTGGCAGCAACGTCGACAATAGCAAACATTCGCAACGATACGCCTAAGAAAAAATTGTCACAAAAGTCTTGGTTTGCCCCCGCCTCACGGCACAAACTAATTCAGGAAGCTCAGATCATCTCAGATCCCTGCGCCCTGCCAGTATTTTCTACGTCCACATAGCTGATTGTCCTGACAACATCCGCGGAACCACTTTACAAAATCAAGTGGCAATCGTCGACCCTCTCGCACTTTTTAGGGAGCCGGAATTGCAGGCTTTGCACCTCAAGCTAGCAAATCCTGAAAAAAACTTAAACCCTACCCTAAACCCTCAAAACCCCCAACCCCTAAACCCTAAAAACCCACCTTAACCCCAACGACCGCTAAACCCTAACAAGCCCTAAACTCGAATGAGCCCTAGACCGAAAACCTTAAACCCTAAAAACCCTAAAAACCCTTATGCCCCAAAAAGGCCTAGACTAGACCTTAAAGAATCCTAAGCGCTCAACACCTCTAAACCCTAAAAAAACCTGAACCCTACACACCCCCAAACCCTAAAACCCTCTAAACTGCAAACATCACCCTAAACCCTAAACAACCACAAGAACCACCGCAAACCCTAATGAACCCTAAACATTAAGAGCTTTTTGAACAACCCTAGGCCCTGGAAAGCCCCAAACCCTTAACACCCCTAGACCCTAAACCCGAAAAAATCCGGAAAGCCCTAACATGAACCCTAAGCCCGAACAAACCCCAAACCTGAATAAACCCTAAGCCCTTAAAAACCCTACACCCTCAACACCTCCAATAAACTCAAAGCACCCTAGACCCTTAAACCCTTTTAAACCCTAAAACGCGCGTAAACCCTGACAAATTCTAGACCTTAATACACCCCAAACTCTAAAAAACCTTATGCCCCTAACCCTAAAAAAACCTAAATCCAAAAACAACCCTACAGAATAAAGGGCCCAAACCCTAAAAGCCTGGAAAGACCCTAGGATGAACCCTAGACCCGAACAAACCCTAAAGCCTAAAACCCCTAAACCCTAAAACAACCTTAAATCAAAAAATTCAAAAGCCTTAAACCCTAAAAATTCACAAACCCTACAAACCCTAAACCGTAAAAAACCCTAAGCCTCAAACTAAGAAAAACACTTAAATCCTGGCACCCTAAACACTAAAAAAGCTAGGCCCTAAAACCGCATGATGTGTGGGGCGAACCAAGACATTTGAGCTATAGTCTAAACTCCTGCTATCCTCCTTAAATTTAAAACCCCTATAATAATCCCGTATATAAGCCCCTATATAACCCCCTTTAAGGAGTTTAGACCCTAAATCCTATACCCTATATAATCCCCTACATGACCCCTTTAAAGAGCTAAGACTATAGCTCATTTTAGGGTAAAGAAAGGCAAGCCACAGGTGCTGCAGAACCAGTCCCCAGCACGTGGAGGAAAACGGCAGATTTGACAGAGGTGGAATGGAGAGACATGGCCTTAGATTCAGATACCGTAACATACCATAATTTACTGTAATATTCCGTAATATGTCATAATATTACATAATAGATTTTACTATACCACAATATGCCATAATATAATATAATACAGTATAACATAATATACTATGAAATAATATAGTATAACATAATATACTGTGATATAATATACCATAACATACTATGATATATTGAAATATACCGTTATGTGCTATAATATACTATATGATATTATAATAAACTATAATATGCCAATATATACTGTTGCATATTATGATATACTATCATATAATTCTTTCTGTTTGGGCTGGTGTTTGCAAGACATTTGGGTAATACCCAAAATTTGGATCTCATTTTGGGTATCCCTACGGCAAACATTAGGTGCGGTAACAAAGTCTATAACCAAAAGGGGACCATAATTTCAAGAACTACCCGTATATAGGAATATAGGGATAATGGAAGATTAGAAAATGGAAGCCACCATAGGAATATGGGAATATACCCCCTACCAAGGAAAAGATACTATTATAATAGGCTATATATGGGGATTATATAGGGATACACAGGGCCTCCTAAGCCAAGTGGCAGATGCAGAGCTTGCCGCCGTACCCCCAAAGTCCCAAAGGCACAGTCTCCTTATTCCACATGGCAGCACAGTCTGGGTGGCTGTTACGGAACTCAGATTAAGCTACCACAACAGGCACATATTTGGCAATTAATATGGTTTCCCCAATGTAGTAACTTGAATTAGGTTCCTGAACAGCAACCCAGCAATTCTAATGACCGTTTTAATGCTTGACACCTGCTCTTGGAGGTTAATCATGCAAATGACAAAAGTGGTTGGACATCACTGCTGGCCTCTTTGTCCTCCAGCTGCCAGGCACGCGCTGCGCCCTCAGGCAACTCCTGCGACACTGCGAAGATACTTGTGCCTGTCTAAAAAACCTTGACAAGCCGGCCTCATGCGCCAACGACGATGTGCCAGCTTCAACTCCTTCAACAAAGTCTGGGGATTTCCAGTGCAGTCTTTCAGCAACCAGTTGCCTCGGGCAAGCCGCTGCTCGCGAGCAATGCTCCTCTCGACACCACTCCAAAAGTTGAGATCCGAGAGGCAACAGTTGTAGGCCGTGCACTCAAAACTGTTGAAACAAACGAAGCAAGCTCCTCACCAGCAGGGACCACAGGATCCCTGCGCGCTCGAGAAGCCGCGCAATGCGGCCTGCAAAGCAGCGAGCTGCAACACTCTAACGTTCAAGCTCAGCTTCTGCCAGCCTTCAACAGGATGAACGACAAAGCAGCTGTGAGGCAGTGGCAGCCTGGCAAACATGTGCAAAACCGCGTTGCAAACAGCCTCAACGGGCCAGTCGGCGTGTACTAAAGGGGCATACCGCGCACATGAAGCGGATTACACAGCAAGTTGCTGTCGGGCATCGAGAAAACCACGAGCCTCTAGAGCTGTAAGGTTCCAGGCTGCGGGCATCGACCGTGCAAGCAACTGATGTTTCTCAGAAAGATGGATGTTTTCTTTGTTTCAAGAGTCCACTGTTGTCCTGACTCATGCCTGCCGCATGGGCAAGAAACGCACCAGCTGCAGGTCTTATCCTGAACTCCTTCAGGCTGGAGGCACACAGGAGACAGCCCAAGCCAACCGCTAGCCTGCAAAGCACAAAAGAAAAACCCTCGGTCCAAATACCCATTACTACTACCACTGACAGTACTTTTACTATCGGTGATGCTCCTGCGGACCAGCATACTTAGTTACATCTTTACTTCAAGTCCCACCTCCGGGCGTAGGCAAGATGATCTTCTGCGCCGACATGGTACTGAAAGTGTACTCCCCGGGTGAGGGCTTGCTGCACTCGAGCTTTGAGGTTGTCAGTCATCCTGGTATGGAATTCACAGTCCCAGCTGAGAATCTGTTTGCAGAGTGCTTGCCAGTCCCCGTCCTCTCAAGCTCCTGTGGGCTAAATCCTGGCCGCAGGTGGCTGACAGTCAGGTCCTGACATTTGGCAAACACCGAGAAGCTTCACACATATGCCACAAGCACAGCAACAAAAAACAAGCTGCTGTATGCAGCTATTTTAGATTTCAAGCCTGCCTGCCAACGACCAGACGTATGCCAGCTTATGGGAAGAGCTGAAACACACGATCACTGCCATCGGAAAATTCGAAGCCTGAGCCAAGGCTCAGTCTGCGGTCCGAAGACCAACACGGAGGTGGCCAGGTGGGAGTTTGACAGCGCTCCGAAGCCTCCCATTGACCTGAACGCAGCATTCAATCAAGTTTGGAAAAAGTCCTATCCATTTACCTTTGCGGAAACATGCTAGCGATGGGTAATTTGTACCAGCAAGATCCAGCAAGCCTTAGCACACGTGCGACAACAGCAAGAGCGAGGCGGGCAATAGATTGCCATGACAACAATGAGAGCCATGGGTCTCCTGAAGAGTCTGAAGCCGTCTGGAACAGTCCGGAGTGGACTGTAGGCTGGACTAAGCACCCAGCAGCGGTACCATGTCCTGTCCCTTTTTGCAGACAAGGAGCACGCCCAACAGGATGACTCTTTTATATCTCGGGACGAATCTTGGCTGTGCAGGCCCAACATCTTGCCCGCAGGGAGCTTCCGTTGCGTCATGACACACAGCATCCAGACAAGAGGCTCCCTGAGCCGCTTCTCAAGCTCGAGCTGCTGCCTCTCGCTGGTATCCGTATACCACTGTGCCCCTGTGTCGCAGAGGGTCAGGACGTCAAAGTCTTGCAGGACTTCGCCATTGTGCCTGTGCGCTGGGCGAGGTACCAAGTCTCAGCTGCTCTATGCTGATGATGTGGTAGCATTCCCTTACCGTGACTTCACTTCTGCATCTTCTTCTCATGAACTATTTCCCTGTGGATGGAACTTCTGAGCCACCACTTTAAGACTTGAGGTTAAAGCCGCAGCTAACCACAGGCACCTGCTGCTGTGCGCCGGAGCTGAGAGCCAGCAGGTCGAAGCCAGGCACTCCAAGTCCTTTTCATTGTCATCCTCACGCAAACGATACACAAAGGTCAGCTTAGAAATGATAACCACCAGCATCCTGAACATCTTTCAAAAAGCGACCAGCTTAGGGTACAGCGATGAAACTTGCCAACCCCCAAACACTGGTGATTCTACAGTTTTGTACAACGTAAGCAGTTATTCTCCTGGGCGCGCCTGCGAACATATCCATGATGCCCCATGGTTACTAGATCGGGTGCAGATTTTTTGGTGACGTTGTTTTCTTTTTTGATATTGGTTTGTTTTGGGCTGGGGGCCTGGAATCGAAGGACGCCTCACACCAGAGCCCTAAAGCAAAAGCCGTGAAGACTGATGAAAATTCATGAACAATCAAGAAAAATCCGGAATCATGAAGAATCATGAAAATGATGAAAAATGCTTAGAAACATATGAAGAATGCTAGAAACATATGAAAATGATAGACACATGATAAAACATGATCAAAAACGATGGAAATGGATGAAAATAGGAAAGTGACAGAAAATTAAAATTGATGAAAAATAACGAAAATGATAGAAACATGATGAAATATGAAAAAACATGAACAGTAACAGAAAATTAGGAAAGTCATAAAGAATACTGAAAATAATGAAAAGGATAGGAAGATGATAGAAAATGATAGAAAATGATGAAAAGCATGGAAATAATGAAGCATCAGGAAAATGATGCAAAATGATAACACATGATGAAACACAATGGAAGATGAAAATAATGAAACATGAAGTAGAGAAAACATGAAACTTATGCAAAATCATGAAACTGTTCAGATCAATAGGGATGAGGATGAAAATGCTTGAAAACGATGAAAACGATAAAAAGAATATGAAGCCTGATGTTCAAAAACGATGGCCAATTATGAAAAGCATAAAAATGATGAGAACATGAAGCATGGATGGCACAAAAAAGGGGGCGGGGGGGGGTTGAGGGCCCTATTAGCAAACAAAATGATGTGCATAACTCCAGCAAGCTTGGATGGCCTCACAAAAACCTTGAGGGTGGGGGTGCAGGATCATGGAAAGTAATGAGATGAGTTAAAACGATGACAACGGCAGGCATGGATGGCCGTAACAAAGGCGGGGGGTTGGGCGCAGCACCAGTTTGCAAACAAAAATGATCTGCATAAACTACTGCTGAACTACTAGTTCAGGGAAATAGAAACCACGGAGCCGGAATTCAAAGAAGCCAGAAAGCCAAGAAGCCACAAAGCCACAAAACAAGAAGCCCCAAAACCAAGAAGCGAAAAAGCCAAGAAGCCCAAAACGCAGGCAGCCAGCAGAAATAAGGCAGAAGTCAAGTAAGTGATGAAAGTGATGCATATGATGGAGAATGATGAAAATCATAAAACATGATAGAAATATTAGAAAACGATGGAAATGATTAAAAATATGTAAATGATAGAAACATGATTGAAGATTATGGAAATGGCCAAAATTTGAACACGCTGTATGCCAGGGCCACCCTTACAAAAAGTCGATCCACCCTCCCCGCAAAAAAAAAAATGCACTCCTACTAAATCCATGACACATCGCTTATGGCATGTACCTGTATCTTGAGCGTTCGCCACAGACGTATCGACAGAAGGGTCATGGCACAACAAAAAGCTAGATGTCCAAGCCTATGGATCAGCGTGTGCACAGCACCCTTCGCCTCCTCCCACCATCTGGCTTGAGTGCTGCCCCTCCATAATGACGTGGAAGTGGAAGTATTGGTAACCCGCAGTAGCCAGCTCCCCCATCCTACTCCCCCAGCTAATCTTTCCGCCAAAACAGCTGAAACGAAAAGCCAAAGGCCTGGAGGTCGCGGCCGTGCAGCTTTCCTGCATCAATTGCATTGCGGTTGCCATGATTCGCGTGTAGGACTTTGGCCAAGTTGCGGAACAGGCTGGTGAACTTGCCCATGTCGTCCATGCAAACTTGAATCTCCGCTTCTGCGATAGAGACATCACCGGAGTAGACTTGACTCAAAACCTGAAGCAACAAGAGTGCTTTCCCGTTTCGGCGACTGCGAATCCAAACCCAACCCAATCACATAAGAGAATGTATAACTCCGATTTTGACAGCTCCCCTCAAAGATACATTACGGATTGGGGGTTCCCTAGTAATAGACAGGGCTGGAGAATGTATCTAGGGGGGTCAAGCCTCGTTCAGGGTCTAGAGGGTTCAAAGAGTTGAGCACCATACGAATGTTAACGACATCTTATGGGCATTTCTACTCCGAGTATAATGACTATAACATGCTACAACTTCGCAGTCAAGCTCATGGTACTGCAGGTGGATGCTCAGAGTTCTTTGCGCGCACAGCAAGCCAGGACTATCTTTTTCATGGGCTCGTGCAGGGGTAGGAGTATTGGTAGTAGGTCTGTTAATAAGAAATGGCCCAATGCATCCACCCCCCCCCCCACCCCCCTCCCCCCCGGGATAAATGAATTTTCCGAGAGTACACAAGAAGTCCCAAACTGCTTCCTGGAATTTTGGGAACAAATAATGTATCCAGGAGGGAGCCGGGCGGATACATTCTAAGCAAAGCACTGAACAGAATGAAGGCCTTTCAAAGCTGGGCCCCACGATTATCACCCATTACAAATGTTTTTGCAGCTGTCTTTTGTCTTACGACTGCACACAAATGGAGGCTGATTTCCGTCTACATTCTTGGATGAGAGTCCATTTCGAAAAGTAATAATAGCCAGTTGTAATGCATCAACTCTTCCACAAACAGACCCACCCTGGATACATTTCTGGCTGACCCCCCCCCCCTCCTACAGGGATGGGTACCACCCCTCCTAGGACACATTAGTTCGGAAGGGATATGAAGTGACTGTCGTCATAGTGATGATGATGGTGGTGCGTCAAATCAAGGTATTTGCACGTGCGCTTAGCTGCTTCGTCTACTTTGCTACATTTTGTGGGATCTTGCAGGCCAAGGTTTCGGACATCAATGCAGTTCATCTGGCTAGCGATTTCTCAAAGCCAGGTTCGCTAACGGCTAACGAACTCCTGCATTTCAGGAACTATATGTTGCCGTATTTGTGACTCGGCTTGGAAGGCGCTTGGAAAGCTGTGTCTCATCCGGCTATTAAAGGAATGAAGTATATTCATGTGATATATGTGACCTTGGCTTGGGACACAACTCCATGCTGAGAAAGAAAAGGAACAAGATAGCTAGCAAAGGAACAGCGCATATCTCACACTACAAACAATCCTAAGACGGCCAGCACTACATCATCACATGCCTGTGACAATGCAAGGGGCTCCCAGCCATTCCGGCTCTGCTTGGCTTGCCGCAAACGCAACCACCAAGACATCATGGGTGGGAGTTTTGGGAAGATCGCCATGTACAGGCTGAACACCTGCACACAGGTGGAGGCAGGGAAGGATACAAAGATAGACGCAGTACAGGGACACATCTATACTATACGGTATGCGCACCTGAGTGTCTCGAGGCTGCTACATTCGCATGACTAAGACTAAGCTGAAGTCTGAACCTGCCGAATGCACATCGGCCTTGACGTCGTTTGAGCTGCGAGGCCGGCTGCAACTTTGCATACAACCTGCGCGCATCCCCTGAGAAGATCTTCCTCCACAAGTATGACCTACTCTTCCAAGTGATCCGTTATAAACCGGAATTGGGCAGCATCTCGTCAGATTCCTGATAGCTGTTAAGATGCAGAGCTTTGCTCAAGCTACGGCCTGTGCCAAGGGAGCATCCATCCGACCGAAACCTAAGTCCAGCTTGTGGGTGAAATTGGTTTGGGCTGCTCTCTATGATTCGCCTTTGTCAGCTGAACTGGAATGCACTGTAGTGCTTGTGCTTGGTCTACGCTACGCGTGTAGAAACTCTGGGCAGGCTTCGTCTGGTAAAGCTCAGGCACCCAGGGTGGGAGGCACTCGCTGCGGAAGGCCGCACTCGAAGCCTGCTCGGTATCCAGACCAAGCACTCGCAGTGCACCCCGCTGGCCAACGAGGTCGGCAACGGCTGCCTCGCATGAAGCTGTAACAAGGCAAGAGCTGGCAGCGTCAGCCAACATACTCTGCGACAAGTGGAAGGCTGGGCCGTCAGGTCTAACGTACGAACTACTCTATTTGCAACTCTGGCCGGCTTGAACACACTGGCAGCCATTAGCCCTGTCGTAGTGGAACCAACTCTCATCTGAAATTTTTTGGAGTTGAGAAGAGATTTTGCGCCAACAGGCTTCAGAATGTCACTCTGCTGAATGACGCGCCTTGGCCACTGGTCCCAATTAAATCTCGCAGCAACATGCGGCATAAAAACTGTATGCCTGCTAGCACTTCCAAGCAAAAGTGCAGACGCACAGTGAAGTAGCACCGTGTGCCTCTGATAACGGATTGGCTTCGACCAGCAGCCGCTCTAGCTGATGAAGCCTCAATGCAGGAAGCATCAGTCTTTTGATTGCAAAACAGGCTCGGTGTTCGTGCTCGCAATACTCGCTCCTTGTTTTTGCGCGACGTCGGGTTGAGATCCAAACCTCAGCCCTTTGGAAACAGCGCCAGAGTCTGCGGGCATTTCAAATGCGCCCACTGGCACCATCATCACAAATACGTATTTAGCCTTGACAAGGGCAACTGTAGAAAGCGAGGGTCGCAGTCTCCAGCGCCATAGAAAATCATAAGCTGATCAGCTTCAGCTCTCTGGGGTGCATCTGCACCCGCAACAAGTTGCATGTGCACAGGAAAGGCCACAATTGTCGTGTACACCGACAGCTCCCTTCTCAGCGGAACTTCTGCATGACCCACCCTAAGAATCTGGAATGGAGGCCTGGCAGCAAAGGCGAAGAAGTAGCTGTGGTAAAGGAGTGGCTTTCCCTCAAGGTGGAGCATGGAAAGATAGAACGGCGGTTCCAAGTCCAAGCCCACAACGGTTGAGGTTATCAGAATTGGGCCAACGCCCCCATGGGCATGTGAGAAGTTCTTGCTGGACATCAGTTGGTGGACAAGACTCCCAGAAGTATTCCAAACCGAACCGGCTGCGACACCGCTGTCCGAATCGAAGTCGAGCACAATATGAGGATCCACACTCTGCTCCAGTAGGACTTGATTTGAAGCAGCCACACCTTCATAGAGAAATGGCGACCAGTTCTTCTCGATTGGACCCATGGAGCGGTTTCCGATGCGAGGCTTGTGCCCATGCACTTCTGAATCCATTGCAATCTGGTATGCCCGAGAAACTGTCAGGTCATCTGCCAGCTCTCCTGCATGCATGCGAACCATGATCCTGGGGCAGGACTGTAAAGGCGACCCTGCCCGCATTTTCGAATTGAAGAAAAAGAGCATCTTCTGCTTGTCAGGATCCCACAGCAGCCTAGGGTCTTCAGGTCCAAAATTGCACTCATGGTGCTCTTGCCAGCACTCATAGTCCTTCATGAGTACATCTTTGTGATGGATCACACGCACAGGCCGAGTCAAGCGCAGCTTCGAGTCCAGAACTGCAATGACAATAGTACTGGACACACATCTGGGTGTGCAACCGTAAGAGTGCAAGTCGGAAAACTCTTGATGTCTCAGTGCCGCTAACCACTGCTCGGAGGCATGGTGCCTCCAGCTGTCAGGCAGAGGCACGACAGAAGGGTTGAATAAGCTGAACTGCGGCTGATCGTCCTGGACGCGGCTGAGCTCTTTTTCACGCAGTTCCAATAGACTGTCGAGGATGGTTACCGTTCTGTTGTCGTCCAGGTCGGCCGTTGTCATTTGGAGCTGAGCTCGCCCCACATCTTCCTGAAACTTTCTACGGAGTTCAGTGAGGTCCTCAACGGGTGCTGCAATTCGGCTCTGCTCCAGAACTACACGCGACTCTTGGCAATAGGCCGAATAATTGTAGGGAGGGGGAGGTTCAAAAGCCGAAGCTTGGAAGCCCTTGACCATGGAGATGTTCCACGGAGCCCTATCAGCCTCCAACTTCTGCCAAGCTTGCAGGAGAGACCTGGCCTTCGACGGCTCTGTTTTTCGAGCACTTGTGAAAACAATCCATGCCAAAAGAACTCTAAGCATGGCCAAGAGATAAGGTTGGTTTGGGTAAGGTTTCTTTGAGCCGCACACGGCTTGAGGTGTCCAAACGAACCTTCACGACATCAAAGACTGGCAATGACAATCGATGGCAAAGCGCTGAGGTCTGGCTTTCAATTTAAGCGATGTGTGCTGCAAGGCCTCGTGGTCAGACCGCGTGGTAGCTCTTGCAGGCGATTGTTATAGAGGTACAGCCAACGCAACTCCGACCTCAACCCAGTGCACTCGACATCTCACACATCCTTATACAAACGAATCAACACATGAGCTGAGCAGCAGATCCAAAAGCGAGTCTGGAAGGGTGCGGAGGAGGTTGTCGTGAAGAGACATGTATTGCAAATTCCTGAGACACGATCAAGCTCAGTGTGGCCTGCGAGCTCATGCCATGTGAAGTAAGGGCTTACCCCAGTTTAGCAGGCAAGTGATACCTGTCTTCGAGGCAAGGAGCTGCAGCATGCCGATATCCTTCGGCAAATGCTCCAAGAAGTTTCCCTGGAGAGACATCTCAACGGTTCGGTCCAGCTGGCATATGCAATCCTCAGCACAAGGCGAGACAGCTTCGGCATTGCAGTCACTCTTGCAACTCTTGCTTCATGTCATGCGACAAACAAGCCCAGGTCTGCTAGCTGCTAATGGGGTCCGAGTCGCAGGCAGTGCCTCCAGCTTGTTTGCATAGGCGCGAATGCATTTGACATCAGGAAGGCCGCCTGAAGGCCCACCAAGGGCGATGTGATTGAAAGCAAATCTCAGAATAGTAACAGCGCGCATTCAGTGGCAAGCCCACTCAGACCCAGCCTACAGCCTCGGGAATTTCCCGCAGCAGGTTGCCAGAAACCTGGACATGTTGGAACCCAAGGTTCAGGTTGCAATCTGTCGTGCCGCAGCCCTGCACCTTGATGCCGTTGACCAAGGGAGGATACTGCTGCGGCAGTTCTTCTAATTGGTTGCCATCGAAGTAGAAGTCCCACAGCCGCACCAATTTGCCTTACCAATGCAGAAATGCTGCACACGTGCGAGAGCGCCCAAGAATCTGATAGCCACATGAGCACATGGTGACACGCTGTGCGCGCTCGTGAGGTTGATGATGATCTTTGCCACCAAGCAGCACAAGCCCTCAGGCAAGCGGCGAATTGGACAACAGCTTACCAGAAACCTCGCCGACATGTGCTGACACATGTGATAACTAGAACAGCAGGCCAACACCATGGCAGGCTACTGAGCCTCAAAACAAGTCATTGCCCTACATCTTCCCTCTTCTTGATGAGTTCTAGTTCTAGAGTTGTGCAAATATCTGTGGCCCTGTAACCAAGCCTGCAGAGAAAGTGTGCTGCTCGTCTGCTTGTTCCAGCACAAAGCGCCAGGCATGCGTGCGCATGAGCCATGTGTGAACCTGTGAGTGTACCGTCTACGCGTGGGTGCGCGCAGTGCTCAAGACCTTGAGACTAATTTTGTTCAGCGTCAGGCCAGGGTTATGCTAGCTTTAGGCAGGTACATTTAGCTGCCCGAACCTGATTTTTTTGAAAGCCAGGCTTGTCCTAAAGCGTTCACTTCACTACCTTAGTCATGGCCTCCAGCAAGCTGTGGCTCAAACTTGCTTTAAGCGAAACCCAGTTCGCCTGCCTACCCCCCATGGAACCGGTCCAGCAGTGCCCCGAGGAAGCGACTGCTGCAGATTCTGCAGCTCACATATCTCCTCTGGCAACTCCGTGATCTCTGTGGAGACAAAACACAGCCTCCGAAACGCATGAGGATGGCTCAGGGCAGCCTGACTTCAATGTTGTGGCATGTGTGCGGCCTCTTCAAAGACTTTAGAAGCCGGATTTCCGGCGGAACGCGGACCAGTGGATGTCCCGTGAAGTCCAAGCAGCGCAGGCCTGCTTGGACCAACTGTCGGGATATGCGCGCGCATGGCGCGCCAGACAAGACTTTTTCAAAAAAAGAGCACACCTGCTGTCTCAAGCTCTTGCCTTGCAGGCAGAAGATGCTGCGAGGGATCTCACGAAGCGGGATCATCTCTCGCCCAGTCTTAATCTCAACTGTCCGGAAGAGCCTCGTCTGATGCAACTCCGCAACGGCACTGAGATGCGCTGTGTGGCAGGTGCGGTGAAGCAGTAGCAATCGTGCTCCCAAGTTGCTCTATGTCCGTTGGGTCACGGCGGTGAAGCTCCTCGGTGCACTCGTTGTACAGCATGCGCAGGCCATCCGTCTCCGAAAACAGGAACCTGACAAGGTCCGCTATCCATCAAGAATCGAAAGTAGCAACCGCAGGAAACCAGCACTTGCATTCCCGGTGTGTATTTGGTTCTTTCAAAACAAACCTCGAAGAAGCAATCCCGAGAAGCCAGTCCGCGCAACGACGATTTCTAAATCCAACGTCGCACAGGGTCCACGCAAGCTCAGTGAGCAACTCAAGAGTGTGTTTGTGGCGAGGCACTCCTTGCAGCGGTCACACGTGCTGGACTCCTTGGTGTCTGCACCATCGGCAGCAGGCTCACGAGGCTGACACTCTTGAAGAGCACAGCTCCTTAGTCACAGTTGGCCCACCATAAGCAACCACTTTATTGTGAGTGCCATTTTCGGCTACATCTGCTTGTTGAGCACCTTAGGATGTCTATAATTCCTTGCCGAAGCACAGGTGATACCCATGAGAACAGCCCGGCACCACGACCTGCAGGGCTGTGAACCCAAAAGCCACCACAGAGATCCGCAGAGACTATCTCACTACCTATATATAATAGTTTCCATTGCAGCCTCATTTTCTCCATATGATTCTCCATTCTAGTAGATCCCTATATCTTCCCCATGTAATTTCCAATATATACCCCTATATACCCTATTATAATATGGTTGTTCCCTAGAAACCCCCTAAATGTTCCCTAGTAGCTGCTAATAACAAACCTTAACCCCTTACATGTATACATATCTCTTTATATGTTTCCCCAAATAGGAGGACCCCAATGTTGACCCCAACATACTACAATCCTTGCTATGGGACCCCTAAAAGGTGATCTATATCTATATCTATACCCTATTCTAATATGCTTGTTTCCATTATATAACAACAGACCTTACGCCCCTACATGCCCCTATATAATATACCCCTACATAATCCCAGTTTCCATAAAATTTCCCATTTGGTTTTCCATTTGATTCTCAGTTTTGGGTGGTCTTATATACCCTAAACCCTTAACCCGTTCAAACTAAGACTTTTTGGGTGCAACCCTGAACCTTTTTGCTAAACTCAAGGTGTAGGCTGCCCACCTACGATGGTGGGCGGCGCTTGAGCCCATCGCTTGCAATCAAAAAAAGTCTCTACCTAGCCCGAGCACAGCCGCGGGATCGGTAGCACCTACAATGGGCCCGGTACCGGAAGGAGGTTCTGCTTGCAACCGGAACTGCAGGGGGCCTGAGAGCCTGGAGTAGGGGGTAGTCGCTCCAACTTCTCTCCAGCCACCAGAACCCACAAAAAAACGGGACCACCGCATGCAGGCCCTTCTCAGGGGCCTCACAGGAGCCTTGCAGGGCCTGCAGCGTCTGTAGTCACTGTAGTCCCACTTTTTTTTACTAGAGGCCTCCAACGACCCTTGTCAAAGGCCTTCCCAGCCACCAAGAACACAGAAGGAGCTTTTCAGTGGCCTGCTAGCAGGCCACCCGCAAAGGCCTGACTCCACAGCAGGCCCAAACACCCAAACTGGATTCTAGAGGCAGGAGGTGCTGACTGTAAAGAATTATGTTATTGACCAAGATGGACCTAACTGATTTTAGGTCCTAAACCCTGAGAGGAAAAGGTTGGGGTGGCTTGGCCGCCTCAGACGGGGTGGGGTGGTTGAATGTGTTAGATGGCCAGCCACAGTATGGAGTCGGGCCATGGCAGCACTTCACATGCAGCCATGCACTTGAAGGAGCGTTTAAACTCATCACTGCTTGCACGACAACTCACAGCAAACACGAAACCATTTTCGCAAAACCATATATACATATATATCCCTTTATATTCCTATATCTCCCCCTATAACCCCATATAAATATATGTATATATATATATGTATATATACATATTAGGAGGACCACCCACCCTGTAGTAGTGGTATCATAGGAATAAAAGAAGACTCTAATATAATCCTTATTATCCCTTGTAGCCACTAGTACTGGGTGGGGGGTCCACCTAAAAAATATATACTACAAGCAGATACGCCAGGCCTGAGCCCATTTGCTCCAGTTCAAGGCACAGTTGCAGCTGCTGCAGCGGCTGGTGCTGGCTTCCATGGACAATGAAGGTTTAGGGTTTCGGGTTTAGGGTGGGAGCATCGGCGTTCAGGGTTTATGTTATTTGGGTTGTATGGGGATAAGTGGGGATATGTTACCCCAATAGTGGGGAATCCAATGGAAAATGAAGTTGAAGCTACTTTTTCAGTGTGCAGGGTTTAGGGATTACAGGCAAGTGGCAAGCAGTTGTTGGCTGTTGGGTTGGAAGGTTACTCTGACTCCTCCCATCTGAAGCACATGTGTCGTTGTACTGTCGCTCACAAGTTCTTCCAGTCTATACCCTTTTATAATAGTACCCATCTTCCCCTACAATACAGTCCCCGGATACGCCCTGTAATGGTACCTATATTCACTTCCCTACTCGCCCCTAAGCAGAAAAGCGGCTGCGGAAAGGGGCTTAGGCCCACCTTGAAAAATCCCCCGTGGGGTTGTGCTGTTATTTGCGCCTGATATCACTTCATAAAACATACAACCCAAATGAGCACCCTGCATGCCGAAGCAATGCCATCTATGGCAAGTCATGTCTTCATGTAGAAAACAATTCATCTGCAAGTGAGGCCCATGCAGTTGTTGTAATTCTGCTGTTGACCAGTCATCCAACTCTTGCAGGACCTGCGTTCCGTGTGTGGCCAAGAATCACGTGCTGCTAGCATCAAGTGCAGCGTCAACCGGGCCTGTGCAATTGCAGCTGCACCAATGGTCTGGGTGCCTTGACCGTGCGCTAGAGCTCTACTGCCAGTTCGCTTTTAGCGCGCGAGCAGCTGTGCATTTTGTGCCTTGTCGGTCAAGCTTCGCAAACTCCTGAACTCGAGCTGCCAACCAACTCTCAACATCTTTGCCATGATGATGTAAGGCTACAGTCAGCATGCCGATTCATTGAAACGCAATGAGTGTAAACACAATTGGGCGCATGCGTCGACAAAGCCCGTATCCTGCTTGATCTGAGCAACATCGCTATCAGTTAGCGCCATTACCTGCCAACCAGGGATCAAACTACCAGGTCCTACAATGTCTTACTTGTTGCGAGAAATTTATTCGATGCATAGACACCATCGAAGCGAACGTGGATCACAAGCGACCGAACAGAAATGCCAGGCGAGGCATGGCGAGGGAAAGGATAGAAGGCTTCATGTAAACAAAGCGTGTTCCTGGCCTTTCACGGAAGTGTGCAAACGGCACACTACCGAACTGCCCCTAACGGTGGCCCAACCATTAGAGTGAAACAGCTTCGTCAAGCAGCTTCAGTTGCCCGAACGCTTCTGCAAGCAGGCAGTTGAGCAAACACTTTTCCTGATTATCTGCGTGCAATGCATGCTTCCTTGGGGAGAAGGCGGCAGGCTTAACCTGAAGCCATACCATGCGATGCGCAGAAGGCACCAGAAGGGGTGGCAAGGTCGCCACCCTCGCTACTAATTCGCCGCGGAACCTCTTGGAGGGAACACGGCAAGTTGGCTGCGTCACGGCTTCTCCGCAACAGAAACATCGCACACGAATCCACCAGCAGGTGCTCGACGGTAGGCACTACCTAGCAAGCACTTCGTACACATTGCCAACAAGCATGATCTGCAATTTACTGCAAACTTGATGACGTTCATGCTGGCCTGTGCCCAGAAAAGGGTTGTCGTGCCTCAATGCTCATCTTTAAGCACATGCAATTTACCACTCGAGGGCAGCACAAAAGGGGCGGATGAGCACATAGGACGTCCGCGCGTATGATCAAGCACGATCGTCTGTGCAGCTGTGCGGCTTGTACTTGCCTCGCAGAGCTGGTAGGCTCTCTGCACGGAGCATCTCCTGCGTCAATGCCCCAAGGCCAGCATTGGCATTCACAAAACGCGAATAGAATAAAGCATCAGGCTACAGCAAGCAAAGCGAGAGCACGCCGACTCACTTCTTTTGCCACACGCACATTCTGTGTTCGGACCTGTTCAGGCAGCAAATTTGTTGGTCGTTCATGGAAGGCCTCTAGCAACAACAGGCCTCTGCAAACGCTGTGTCGGTGTCAGAAGCGCTCCTCCTGTTCGACTTTCGCCCATGTGTGGTGGACGGCTCGGGTCTTTTGGGCGGTTCCCGCGAGGCCTGGCAAAACATTGCGGCCATATGGCTGCTTGTGAAGCCAAATAATCAACGTAAAGCAAGGTATGATAGCATGACAATATGGCGCCGAAACAACCTAAACACATTGCCCTCTCCCAGCCTCGGCAGCGACGCTTTTCGATTCTTTTTCCATCCGCCAAGGCCGAGGCTGTGGAGAAGCGCGGCCCGTCCACCGCAGCAATTCGACTTGGACCTTGTCCCATAATCCCGAAAATCATGGAACCAACTACGGGAGAAGTGAAGCCTGTCAAGATTGCAGGTCTGAGATTCTGACCCCGCCACATTGAAAACGCAATTCCGTTCGCCAATCCAGCCCCGTCAATCGCTTAAAGTCCTATGCGTGTCTGAGACTCTGAACAAGAAGGCCTTTCATCTGTGCAATGGCTGCGCAATGAGCTTAAAGAATCGCTTCACATCAGCTTGTCCTCGCGAGCAGAGAGGCAGTAAACGCCTCGGAGATATCTCTGCGTCTGCTCTGCCTTCAGCATCTTGCCAAAGTTGGCATACAAACGCTGGTCTTTTCTGGCGTCAGCTTTGTTGCCATAAGGGACCTGCAGGAACACTTCTGTGCGACCAGCTGCTGACAAGTAAGACAACCTACAATGAGCAAATCAAAGGCCAAACCCTTCACAAAGCATGGCACATTGGTAAGGATCATGGTTGGGTGTCCACGGATCTTCTCCAGCATCGACCAGGGATCACTGCACTGAAATGTCACCGAGCAGGGAAGCCGCCGCTTGGAAATGCTCAAGGCATCCTTGCAAATTTTGGTGTTGTAGTTCTGCCGGGACTGTACTGGATAGAAGAACCAACTTGGCATGCTTCCGTGGGAAGAGTGTGCGCCAAGCCATCGAGGACCCTCTGCGCCCAGCCTCCTTCTCTGCTACATCACTGCTGGGCAAAGGCCATATCAGGGACGTCGGCCCAGACCGTGGCCGGGGTAGGGCCCGCGCAAATGCCTCGCGAGATGGCCAAACAAAACCCTGCAGATACAGCAGCTTTAGCAACACCTGCAAGTTCCGGTTCGCCAATCTCACAATGTCAGGATCTCGGTGGCTTCCAATGAGGACCAGATTGGACACATGCGGAGACGGAGAGAGCTCCATCGAGCGTACCACCTCACATTGTCATGATTCTCCGCATGGATACACCAAGTGACAATCGATCTCTGTCCCTAATTGCACTCTGATTTACGTGCTGATGCGACAACCCGGCAACGCCACCTCGCGGAATCTGACCTGGTCAAAGTTGGGGAACTCCTGAAATGGCATTCTCATGACCTTTGGTAAGCAACATTGGCACAGCAATCTGAGTCCCAAAGCAGCTGCCCTCTCGAAAAAAGCAGTTGGCAAGAATTGGCAGCTGACTCAGTCCCGCACTGGGCTTGCGGGAGGCACTCCCAAGGCCAGGCCCAAGGCCTCTAAGAGCAGCGTGCCCCGCCCGCAGAAAGGATCCCACACGCAGAGATGCTGCCTTAGCTGGCGCCGCTTTCTGACTTGTAATTGTCGGCCATCAATAACAGCGACGACGATCTAAGATTTTTCTCAGCCTACTTGACTCGCACACCGGGAAAAGTAAGTAGCTCCATCCTGGCGCGTGTTTTTTGGTCCTATTCTCTGACAAGTAGTTATTGCTGAGTCCTGTTCCGGCCTTGAAGAAAACACCAAAATTCGTTGTCAATGAGTCAAGCATGCATACAATAGGTGGGTCGCTGGACTTCATCTCCTGGTTTCACAATAACGGCCTCGGAATTGACCCGTTGAGATGCGGAATAGCTGCCCAGCTTTGCTGCATTCTTCCAATTGCTGCATGCACCGGGACTTCAGCACCTTAACTAATTACCACTAACCATTGGATGGGCTTGGCTGGGAAGTCATGCAGCAAACGGGCATCCCCAAAGCCAAGTGTCGGACACAGGCCGCTGCGTGAGAGTCACCCAGGATCCAGGCGCTACCGCGTCCCTACAGTCGTTGCACCAACTGACCACGGCAAGGATCATACTCTAGCCACGCGCCTCTTCCAAAGTCTGCTCCACCGCCGCCTCCTCCCCCTCCTCGACCGCCAGAGCGTAGGCACGCAACCTCAGCGGACTGTTGCAGCACACGGCAACCGTTATTTGCATCAGTAAAATACGATTACCAAGCCGCTGCGGCACAGCCGTCGATGCCACACTCAAATGGCACTCGTTCCTGTATTCAGGGGGGGGGTCTCCAATGTCCTATGCAGGAACAAGTGAATCACCTTCCAGCCTTTTCAGCTCTACATGGAGCGTGGGCAAGGGAGGCATGTCCTCGGCTGCTTATTGGTGCTGCTTGTTATAACCAGCATGCAGCATAGTCGAACCAGCCGAGTAGCTTTGTCCCCCCTTCCATAGAAAGTATCATCCTCGTTTCTTTGAAGCCGGAGATTCATGAAGAACTGGCGCCGCCGCTCAATACCTGTTTGGAACAATCCCTGCCCTCCCTGTACCGACGAAACGCCAGCAGCATACCAGCGGCGCGTCAAGCCAAGCCAGGCCAAGCTGCCATTCAGAACAGCACGCTCAATGACGTCCGTGTGGTAGAGGCGCGACTTCTCCGTCAGGACCTTGAGCCTGTGGCCAAAAGACGGTTGCATAGTGCAGGCGCGTAATTTCTACCATTTGGCCCGCATATCACTTGTACCATTTGCTGCAGGTGGCGGCGGGTTTGCCGGCTCTGCACCAAACCACATGTAATCAGGCCACGGGATGCCCGCCACCTTGGTAGCTGCGAACCTATTGCTCTGGGCAAGAACCATCAAGAACCTCTAGCTTTAGATTGCCAAGAGCGGTGCATAATTTGACAGGGTCGACTCGTAGCCAGCATGAAACGGCTCGCCAACACCTCAAGCAGAAGATCAAAAGGGGTCCAGGCAAAGGCGTTGCGAATGGAGTTGCTTGATGGCTTGATGTGTCCATATCCCTCTGTGTTGCCGATCATGGGCCTAACATGCATGTCCCCAACATCCCATCTCTGTTCCCCCCGTTGGCAGTGAGGTCTCTTCAGCTTAGGACTACCCGAGAATACCTGCTTTGCTCCGTATACCAGGATCATTCACATGAGTCAGTGACCAGGGGTTGCAACCTGTCCAGTATCAGCTTCGCCTGACAAATGATGGAACGAAAAGGCAGGCAGGGAGTAGGCACCCAAAAAACTGCTGGAGCTCTTGCTGCCCTTTCAAGACACCCAACCGTCCGCCCAAGAGGAGTCTGCTCTGCAAGGCTGCGCGCCATAAAAGCGACTCCGGAGCCTTACACATGATGGGAGGTCCCTTGGATTCCAAGACAGAATTTCAAGTCTCTCGCCTCAACATGAAGGCCACCGCTGTAGCTCTCCGCGCGCGCTCGTAGAATTCCCAAAGCCTGCCATGCTCTTGTTAATTTCTTTTCTCAAATTCCAGAAAACTCAAAGATTGCAAGGAGCAAATGCTGCCCAAGAACCTCCAGCTCACGCTGTAACATGGACTCCAGACCTGGCCATGGTACCCCCACGAACATTTGTGGCTAAGCATGACGTGAATGCCCGCCTGGGGCAGTGTCAAAGTAGAGCCGCCTTCGCACACAATATTCATCCGTGCACTACTATCAGGAAGCTGAGCGACTTCCTGCGCTATGGGTTGGGTACACATAGCACGCATTCAAAGCGCTGTACCCGATTGTTTTTTTGGATCAATCTAATTTATGTGGCTCCCGTGCTGGCTTGGCCATCAGCAAGGCCTTGGCTGCACCACGCGTGCCAGCGCTGCTGCCTCCAGCTGAGAACCTCTCGCCGCAGCACTGCGCAAAAGCGCTGCTGCAGACGAGGCGGACATGCTTGGTCGAAGAGCGCTCGCGTCGACAGCGCTTCCACATGTTAAAGGTACTAGTTTGGTGGCTGCGACGAAGAGCTCGAAAACTAATGAGATTACTTCGTCTTGCTTAAGATCCAAGCAGGAGTACGCCTCTCAAAGTTGAATTCTGTTCAAGTTGTTTGCAAGCAGGTCTGTCGGCATCTCTTGTTGCAGGCAAGCTCTGCTAGAATCGAGGCATGGATGAGTTGTTGCTGCCAGTTGGGGTGCCATTTGCCACTCATACAAGCGAGGGCTGCGGCAAAAAACACAGGTCCTCTTCTGACAAGCTACAGCTGACACAAGCCTACGCAGGTCTGCGTGCTGTCTAGTTTCACATGCGATCTTATCTTTACATGAAGCTGTTTGGCCCTCAGGACACTGTATGCCTGGAAAAGACCCCAGCAATCACATCCCAGTCTATCACAATTTTGCCCAGCTTACAGGGTCTACCAGATACACAAGAAGTTAGATCCCTTTTTGCGGTAACAACCAGAACCACAAACATGAAGAAATGACGGACTTACTCATTGATGGGACACACAACCCACAACAAACTCCCCGGACGCTTGTTCGTGATCCCGATGATTTCAGGGTCTCGAAAACAGGTGTGATCAAATGAGCGGTTTTGGCGGGTCGCCGCAGCGAGAAGCCAAACATTTGGTGGGACCCGAGGACCGGTGGGCTGAGGTCAACGGCCACTCACACCCCATTCAGACCATCCTTCTGAAGTTTGAGTGCCATGCCGCGATACCCTAACCTTCACATGACGTAGAAACCAGGCTACACCAGGTCGCTTGCAGCTTCAATTTGGGGGCAAATGATGTTGCGCAGTGAGCTCTCACTACCTCATCTGACCAAGTGAAACTACGGGCTTGCCACGAGACAGGACCGGTCGGCCACTGTGCCAAGGGCAGGCATATACCCGCCAAGCTAAGCAGGGCCGAATCACTTCAGCCTCCCTCAGCGGGGTAACGAGCAGGTGTAGGAAAAGATGCCTGGAGTGCAGCCGTCCGGCACCGCATGAAAGTAAAAGAGCCCGACATCGACTTTGTAGTCTGAAGGGGTAATGGGATCAAAGCCCCAGCAAATTCGGTAAGAATCCGGACGTCCCGCACTGGACTGTCCCAATCGGATTGTTGCCGAAGAGCCATCAGCCGAAATCCTGGCGAATAGTCCAGGATTCATGAGACCGGCAAAGGAAGCCACAACGGGAGCAGTATCACCACAAGAGCCACTGTTTGCTATGAGCAGGATCCTGTTGGTTGAAGCAAACTTAGACCCATAAAGATTGAAGCTGCAGACTGAGCCCATGGTGCAATCAACTCGATAAGTTCCGTATGGACCACTCAAGCTGAAGACCCCGAGCTCCACAACAAAGTTGGCACCACCCGCATGCACTCCATGAGCCCAGCAAATCCGGTAGTGAGTTCCAATACAGCTCTGAGCTGGGGAAGGAACACGACACTCCGCGTAGCTACCACCCTGGACTGCGGAGCCAAGGGCGTAAGATCCGTCGGTGACATAAGTGGGACTGGACAGGCCAGGAATCGTAGCAACTACAGCCTCCGTGGACCCACACAAACCTGCGTTCGAGACAACTTCTATCTGATTTGTCGCGTTCAGGCCTACACCCGTAGGCTCCACGACACAGGCTTTGCCTAGAGTGCAAGCGATATCCATACCTTGCACTGGACCATTCATTACGAAATTTCCAACTGTGACCTTGTAGTCCACTTCACCATTGAAGGGGTCAAACCCCCAGCAGATTCGGTACAGGCCCGGGACCCCCGCAAATCCCAACCCAGCATCATAGCGGTCGCCGTCACTATACACGTAGCCTGGGTCTGCTGGTGGCAGCATCAAGTCCGTTGAGGCAGGATTGTTAATCCCTGACCAACTGATTACAGTAGGCGAGGCATCACCACATTTACTGCTCTGTGAGATCATCAGAAGCCTGCTGGCATGTGAAAAGCGGACACCTGATAGCGTGATCTTGCACGGTTCGCTTAAAGTGCACTCATTATCCTGTGCGACTGGCCCGCCCATACGTAGTGTGGCGACAGGTACGTGGTAGTCAGACTCTTGCGTTGGAGCATAACCCCAACATACCTTGTAATCACCCGGGTGCCCGCCAGTAGGAATACCGAGCTCAAAGGTGTCATAGCTAGTGCCGGACGCATTGATTGGGTTTAATGCATCATCAAAATACGCCTGGTTCAGATTTGTCTGGCCACAAACATCACTCAGCGCAGTGACGAAAATCTTGTTTGTGGATGCCAGGTTTACCCCAGTCACCTGGATGGAGCAGTCAAGCCCAAGAGTGCAATAGAGCAGGGAAGTCTCACGAGCAGGCCCGTCAATTGAAAATGTCCCTAGCTGAATGTTGAAACTCTCGCTGGTGGTGCCATTGCTGCTCCAACATACTGTGTAGCCACTGCCAGGCCCGTCTGAAGTAGTCCGCGCAATGCCTAGGTTGTACAGGGCTGGATTGCCCGACTGTGGACTTGCAGGATTGACCAGCCCATCGAAGACCGCCACTGTGGGGTCGGAGTTCCCGCACGAGCTGTCAGCGTCGATGATCAGGATCTGGTTTGTATCTGCTAAGCCCACACCCGTGAGAGTGATGTCACATGATGTGCCCAGAATGCAGTGCTGCGCCACCTGTACAGGCCCATTTACTGTCAAGTAGCCTAATGGCACCTTGTAGAACGATGCCCCACCATCTCCAGGGTCGTGTGACCAGCACAACGTATAATCCGTGCGCGGCTGACCAGACAAAGGCGTGTTCAAGTCGTAGGTATCATAAGGCGACTGAGGCTGTACACTGATGGTGGACAGCATTCCAGTAATGGATGCTAGGGTTGGCCCATTGTCCCCGCAGTTGCCTGCCGAAAGCACGACGACCTTATTGGTGCTTGTAAGATCCAAACCAATTAACGCGATGACACACGAGACCCCGAATGTGCAGGCCTCATCCTGCACATTGGGACCTGTCACAGTGAAGTCACCCAAGGTCAACATAAAGTCTGATGTGATACTCGGGCTTGCGGACCAGCAAAGAGTGTAGCCAGCTTGTGCTGTTCCGATGTTCGGTCGTCCCAGTCTGTACTCTGTGAATGTGCCATCCTGAACCAGGGTTTCCACCTGCATGGGGCTGAAGGTGGCAGCCACGGCACCACTTCCACATGTGCTGCTCGACGTGATGACGAGCAATTTGTTTGTGTTGGCGAGGGCAATGCCCGTCAATGTCAGAATGCATTCTTCGCCCTTTATACACACAGAACCAAAAAGGAGATTAGGGCCTCCCAGCTGGAACGTCCCCACAAAGACATTGTAATCTGCCTGCGAAGCTGGCTGGAAAGCCCAGCAAATGACATAGTTGCTGTCGGGGCTACCTGCAGCAGCAATGCCAAAGGAGAAGGTATCCGTGGCAGCTGCGACTGGATTGGTCCAGGTCTGATCCGATGCGTTGACCAGGGAAGCACTGCTGTTGGTACAGGATGCGCCGCTCTCAAGCAGAAGTAAACCGTGAGCGCCCAAATCGAAGCCGGATCCCGTCAGGGTCATTGAACAAGAGGTAGTCAGAACACAGTTGTGGTTGCTCTGCACAGGGCCATGCAAAGTGAATAATCCAGCATCAATGGCATAGTCCCCGTTGGTCTTGGCGGGCGGTGTCTGCGTGGGAGTTGGCGCCCAACACAAGCGATATCCGCTTCCGGGCTGGTTGTTATGAGAAGCAAGGGCAGGTCCAAAAGCGTAGCTCGTGTACGGAGAGCTCTGGCCGGTCAACAAGGGATGAATGAAACTATCTCCAAGCGACGCGACCAGCGAGTCAACAAGCAAGGCACAAACACTGCCAGTATTGACGTCATATGCTCCCACCGCTACCAGCAAAGCATTGGTCTGACCGAAGCCTTGCCCCTGGAGACTCACACTACAATCCTTGCCCATCGTACACACATGCGACATCCCAGACGTAGGCCCCGTCATCACGAAGCTGCCCACCAGGAACGTGTAGTCTTCAACATCGACGGGAGCTGCACCCCAGCACAGAGAGTAGCTGACAGTGGTATCTGCCAAGGTGGCTATCTTCATTTCGTAATAATCGTCATTCTCATTGTCCCACACAACTCGCGGATTCTCAAAGGTGCCTGAGAAGGTTGCCGCAATAGTCCCAGTGCCACAGCTGGAATTCTGCACAACGATGACTTTGTAAGCTGCACCAGTCGCTGACTGGCTGTGACCACTCAGCACAAGAGTGCAATCAGACCCAAGTGTACAGGTAAAGCTCTGTCCGGCGACTGGACCCTTCATCGTGAAATTTCCCACCTCTGTTGTGTAGTCTTCAGCATTAGCCGAAACTGCGGATGAGTAACAGAGCTTGAAGTCGCCCGGAGAGCCCCCTGATGCAGTACCAAGGTCAAACACAGCAGTCGGATCGACCGCTGTGGTCGCAACCTTGGGGTTGGTGATGCCAGGCCAGCTTTCCAGCGCTGCACCACTTCCACACGCACCTGCAGAGGAATCAAGCACAGCGACGCTAGAATTTTCATTGAAGCCTGTACCCGTTACTTCAAAGCTGCAGGATGCCGTTAAAGTGCAGCTGGGGCTGAAATATCCAGACGAACAATACGCAGCTTCCAATGGATCAGGACGAAAGCTTCCCTTTAAGCAGCAGTAGAAAGCCATGCCCTGATAGCCATTTGCAGCATTGCCCTCCTGGATGAACTGCCATGAGACACATTGCGGCCAGTACTGGGCGCATAGAGTACAACAGTCCACGGCACCACCAACTTCCTGACATCCCTGCGCAATCGAATTCTGGTCAAGAGTGATCGCCAAATTGGACCCTTGATAACAAACCCCTGTCTCTGTTACGCAATCGGTCGCCCACGCAGCTGTCACCAGGCAGAGCAGGAAAGTGATATCTCGCAGCTTCATGGAAAAGTGAAAGCAGGCCATGGCGGAAGTCGTTTACACCTCACCCGCATGTTTGCTGCTTACATAATTATCATAATTACACAGCATGATGCGACAATCCTGTACATTTCCAAGCTCCGTTCTCAGGCTCTGCTGATGGCTGTCGGTTTGCGGGCTTTGGTGCTTAATGCGCACAATTGTCTCTAATTGATTGGAACGCATTTCTAGGCTGCGTGCAACAAATTGCAGAAAGGGAGTCTCAAAGTGAAGCACATTCAGACCAAAAAACCGTTGCCGCACACTTCGGGGCCATTAGCATCGGCTCCTTGCCAGCGATTGTTGTCCGCTGTGGCGGATAATAATTCCCAAGGTCCTTACCACGTACGGTCGTGGAAAAGTACATGCACTCTGAAGCTCACACTCAGCGCGGAAGCCCTCGGAACCCGCCTCGTACGTTGGCCGGTCAACTTCATCTGGAAGTGCGGCTTGACCCCACCACACGGGATGCCTGCAGCAAGAATCTTTCGCAAAAACCATGTTGTCTGGCTCTCTCCCCCTGCGTGAAAACAAGCAGGCCAACAGTTCCTGATTTGCCACACTAGGCTTCCGAGTGCTGAGCTTGAGCGGCTTGTAATCAACCCTCAGCGCTGCCTGGCACGAGGCTTGAGCTCTCGTCAATGCACTCGACACATGCAAGACTCTATGTTGTGCTCTATGTTGTGCTCTTTGCCGCCTTTGCCTGCCTGGATGCATACACGCCCCACTTACATAAGACTCGGTCCCTCTCCACTGGCAGCTTCCGAGGCATCGCAAATGTTTTTTCAAGTAGACAAACTGCCTGCCCCGGCTTCATGACGGTTACGGACGACCTTAGCACAGCGAAGCGTCGACAAGAATTAAAACCCTGCCAGAATGGAACGACCGGCCACGATTATCTAACTGTGCAAACCAATGCCAAGGCCGCAATTCGCCTGCCCCGCCCCCCCCCCTTTCACTCCCCCGGCTCCGCGTTCATCCTGCACTTCCCCGGATCACTTCTTCTGAGCCAGCAATATTTTTTTAAGCGGCAAAGCCACACAGTGAGACTATTGTTCTCAACGTGCCGTGCTGTCTGCTGTGGCCGGCTGAACCGCATGAACTTTCCGCGGTCGCAGCTTGGAGCTCATCAGGTATCTGTACAACACAGCAAACATGCATTCGACAGCTACTAGGTGTTGGATTTAGATTTATTTGGGCCTCGTCCTTTGCAGCTGCATTGCTTTCAGAAAGCTGTGTGGCCTTCTAGTGCAAGTGAACTTGCATGCAACTGCTCTGGAACAGCCTGCAAGGTCTTAGGCATCAGTGGCAAAACCAGCTTGAACGGATGGATTCGCTGCCAGCTTGAAACACAGGATGCAAGTGTCTTTGAGATCGCACCTAAAAGCCCTGCCCTGTCGAGCGATGACTGCGGCTATCCAAAATCTGTTCAGGCACAACTTGCCCCTAGCGAGTCTTCTGTCTCACATGCAACATAGAATAGCCGCTAGTCGGAAAGTATTGCGGGCGGATGCTGTTGGTATTTGTGCACACTGCCCCATCGCCACGGCAATGCCCAGTTCCGAAGAACTTCACAATCGCTGCTGAAGGTGTTAGCATCTTCGGCGGGCCCTGCGCGTGACAAGTAGGCAGTGTGCACGCAGCTCGGCCCATGCTGACTTCACCAAGCCGGCGGTTGAATCTTGTCAGCTGGACTGTGCATGATTCGGTGGGCTCGAAAAAGAATGCCAGATCTCCACCGCAGGACCCAGCACGAATGGGTTTTCTGCGACGATAAGCATACTAGTGCGAATAAGTATGGATCTTGAAGAGACAAGCATGATTCTGGCATTCCGCCCAGAAGGAAAACGCTTCGCATCGCAGAGCTGCAACTTTGAGCACCATCTACTTGCATGCGTCAGCACTGAAAAGAGGATGCCACAACCATGACTTTGATCAACTACATGATTCAGACTGGGACATAATTATGCATACTTCAATGCCATGTACCTAACACAACGTAAAACATCTCCAGGAGGTGAAAAAATAGTTTCTCGGTCCAGCCGAAGGCATGGGAGCTATTGCATGTGCGAAAAGGTTGCGCTCCGACGCTGCGGGGTGCTGGGGTTTTGGTGCAAAGTCCTACACTCCAAGTCCAGTCTGTGCCAAGCGCACAGGCACGACAAGATCGGAGACAACCTGCAGAACCGATACACCTCACTCCTCAGCGGAATCCTCCAATATGTCATGCAAGGCCAAGTCATCTCCTGAGCGGACTGGAAAAGAGCGGTCACAACTCAATCAAAAGGACTGGGGCTCTGGGTATGAGATTCATGCACAACAGCTGGCCCGATATGCACAACCCGCAAAAAAAAGGGAGGTAGCAACATGCCCGGGCCTGCCAAATGCTGTATCCTCCCGCCCACCAGCCCGGTAATGTCCAACCCAGTCCATCGCATATCCCGCGTCCATCTCACGCTCAACCACGAACCCAACAGAAACGTCTGCATACAACAATGGCCCACAACAGATCTCTGCAACAACTTCTGGCAGCCACGTGTCCATTCTCGCCATCCTCAGACATCGCCTCGGAGCCATTCACGATTTTGAAAGTGGTGCCAGACATGACTCACAGTCTACACCACGCAGCCTGCTGTTTCTAGGTCTTATCAACAAGCAGCCTGGTATGCATCAAATATGGCCCGGTGTTGCGGGCACAGCGATTTGGCAGCTGCCATGACGGACTGCAGTTCCTGAGCGGCCGATAAACTGCAGATACGTTTTGGGTGCCCGCAGTTCTACTTCATGTAGAAAACTCGGTCAAGATGCCTCACGCTTGAAGGCGGTCAGATCTGCTGCTGCCATGTCCTTGGCTGCAAACGTTCAGAAGTCTTGTGCGCGCCCTTGGCACGGCATCCATTGCTGAGGCAGGCTCCAACAGCTTCTGCACCAGGAGGACGCGGTCCTGCGCGTCGAGCTCTGCCAGGGACCGCAGGACGCAAGACCTGCTGACGCGCATCGGTGCAGGCATCACGGGCGCTGGCACTCGATTGCATTTCACCAGCATGCCACTGTCACCGCCTACAGTTGAAGTTGAAGCCCTACAGCACCCTCTGCAAGCTCAGAAGCATGCAAATCCCGCATTCACGTAACATGCCTTGGATTCTGCAACCAAGGCGCAGCTGCTCAGGCGCAAGGACATGGCTATTCCGCAGAAGCACTGCGCAGATTTTTCCAACGACATCTGGCTGGTTGAAACGCACCTGCCATGCGAATGATGCTGGTTCGTGTCAAGTGTGGTGATGTGTGGTGCCCATGCCCGTCGTATAGCTTACACAACACGACAGGCAGTTCAAAAGCATGTGCTGTCATCATGGTTTCGTGCATCAATCCATTCATGGCAGAGTCTAAATTCCTCACATTCGTTGCCTGCGCGCATCCCATCAAGATGCTGGTCAGTTGCGAAATGCCTCGGTTGCTTCCCTCTTTTCCTCCCTTCTTCCTCGCTATCCCTCTGCTGAATCGCTGAATGCCTCACTGCCTGCGGTTTTCACCATCACTCTTACATTGCAACCATATTGATTGCTGGTAACACACCGGGTGGGCCCACATCTCTGGATGCGCAACTGCGGCTGAGGTGCTAAATCGTGATGTAGCACTGCAAACCTCCTAGTAAGCATCTCAACATGAAACCAGACTGCAAAGTTGAAAAGGTGGGTCCTCGAAAAGGCGCTGGTGCTTCACACGAACCTGCCCAAAGGACCAGACCTTGCTTGAAGCGGAGTCTTCCACGTCTTCCCTCCCTCTAAACCTTTAGGCAAGCTGCCGTATTGGCCATCTCCTGGGGCTTCAAAGAATTAACCTGTGGGGCCATCTCGTCCCCGAAGCTTCGAAAGAGCTGATTCTGCGCTGTCCTGGTACAAGCTCAAACCACACGGAGACTATATGACCGTTCCTGTTTCTTCGAATCATTTGTCCATGCCGTTCCTTCCAAACCTGCATGCGGTTGATGTGCCTCCTTCATTGAGGTGACTTTTCTCATGCCAGCGTACGCGAGTCAGTGAATGCTTTTCCTAATTCATGTCATCGTTCGGTCACGCCTGCCAAGCAGTAATGTCTGTCCACATTCGTTGGCCTGGTGCTTTACCTCGCATTCCTTATGATTCCCACTCCTTGTGTCTCAGCACATATTTGTGCCAGTGTTCTGATGGAAAGATTCTCCACAAGCCTTGTCTTATTACCAGCCGCACTGCTGGGCCAAGCTTGGATTGCACGACGCCCAACAAATTCTTGCAGAAGAGGATAAGTCATGTAAGATTAAATCGCTCTCGGGGCTGGTCAAGTGCAGTGAGGCAGTGACTGTCGTGAAAAGTTTGGAGTGCAGGAGGAGCCCCAAATCCCGGCCAGCGCGAGTCCTTGATAGCGCAGAGCATTGTGCGAATGACCAGGCTGCTGCAGAGAGGCATTGTGCCTCATGCTGCACTAGGTCTAAAGTAATCAGGCGGCACATGCTAAAGCTCTTCTGCAACTGATTTTGCCATGCACCTTGTACTCTCCACGCTGTCGCACCTGCATCATCTTTGCAGCATTCCTCGGATGGCGCCGTCACAGAAGTTGCGAAGTTAGGAAGCAATTCTTGCTTGCGAGAGACTGGTAGAGCTGTGTACAGGGGATGGAAAGCTTTGCAAAAGCCCAGATAAGATTTGTAACCTGCATGTTATGGCTGCAGCTTGCGATGTCACAGGATCGTGAACATGGTGGCACAGAACCTACGCACATGCCATGTTGCAGGAAAGACCTCGTACGGCTTCAGTTCACGCAAACGCGGTCCGGCTAGCTCTGCAAGAATTGACAGCATAGCTTCGTCCCGCACCTGAGACTTTGGCAAGCTGCCGAACAATTGCGCATCAGCAATTCGTGAAACAGAGGCTCATCACTGAAGAATGAGGTTTTTGACGCTGAGGAAACGGCCGATAGCCTTAGCTGGGACGCTACATTCGCTAGGGCTGTCCAATTTCCAATCCTGCTAGACCGCCTTCCTGGGCCTGCAGGCTAACAAGTCGAGGAGCGTTGCGCAAGACCAGGCAATGATACTAGTGCACTGAGCAGGAAAGCCGGCAGACTGGGCTTCAGCAGAATTGCTATCTTGGCCAGATTCCACAGCGAACCTGGCTTTCCTGCAAAGCATATGCCACTGGAGGTGTTTGACAAGCTTACCCGCTGAAGCTTTCCCCTCAGAAGCGCAACCAACTACCAATTGCCTCTCAATGGCCTTGATCATTGGACCGAAACCTGGCGCCAACTTGCGCAAGCGGGCAGAAGTGGCGCATCTAGAACAAATCATGAGAAGGCGAAACTGCAGGCTGGCTACCTGGATGTGTTTGCACACCACTGATTTGTGATGGATCCTGAGGGTGACAACAGCAAGCTTGTAACACACAAACATGGCCCACATGCGTGTCAATGAACTTGGCTAAACATTGCACAAAGTACTCCTCAGAGCTGTGTCGCGCGATGCGATGCAAAGCGGTGGCAAGGTTCACACCTCAGCTACATTCTGAAACGGCAGCCGACGGCATCAACTTCTAAGTGACCCACGATTCCACAAGCACAGTGACAGCACGGGCAGAATGAGCCCGGGCCGGGCTTTCACCGTCCACCGAGCGGCCGTTCATTGCCGACAGCCGATTCCAGGTCACGTCGAGGACTGCCCCAACTTTCCCTGGAAGGATGCAAATCGCAACATGGCTTAGTGACGGTCAGTTCACAGAGTCTGCAAGCTTCTGCGGGCCTTTGCTCGCTGCATGGGTTATCTCACCTCACATCACGCAGGCCGTGTCACCAGACTGAAAGTGGTGTTGGTTTGCGACCCGTACTTTACCTGTAATGAATCCCTTATGGTGCCCTCTCCCAGGGCATCTTCTCCTGCAAGCTACCTTGAAAATCTTGAAATGTCCATGGAATCCATGATGTGGCCGTAAGCTGAACAATCTCAACAATCACTCAAGAAACATGTCGAACCCATACCGTGTCCTAACAAAGCGCTTAGCAGTCGAGAATCGGTTGATTGTCTTGCTGAGCCGCAGCTCCTGATCTCTGCTGACCTCTCCAAGTGGTGCAAATGCCGCATTTCACTTGCTGTCATCTCATGCGGCTTCATTCTTGGATGCTGCTCAGCGTGCACTTAAAGCTGCTGGAACGCCTCGCGTTGCTCCATCTCCAGGACGTTCATGCGAGGTTGCGACTGAGTCCTGTGCGAGAGTTCCAGCATACTCATCCACTCCATAAGTCGCGGCCCCAAACAAACACACGTTCTTCATGCAGACATGCCACTTCAGGCTGTGGACCATAGCAGGTGGCTCGGCTTGAAGTGACCAGTGCCGATGCTCCTTTACATGCAAATGTATGCAGTTGAGGGGCAAGCCGAGGCCCACGAAAGCTAGCCAGGCTCTATCTGGAGTAGGGTACAGGAGGAGGAGGGGAGGTACATGCCAGCAAAAAGCACAAGCCTCGTCAAGAGGCCTGGAAAACAATTCGCAAAACCTCGCCAACTCGACTCCAGTTTCCACTTCTCTTTGCACTTCACTTTGCAACCCACTTTCCCTTCCAGCCCTCTCCTCCCTACTTTCCCCATTGTCCTAGTCTTTGCTCCACGTTTCACACCACTGTCCAGTCGAACTCTGACTTTACTCTGGAATACTCTGGACTCCACCCTGACTCCAGAGACCACTCCAGTTTCCACTCCACTCTTCTTCACTTTCTGCATCACTCACCATTCCACTCTGCAATGCGCTCTCCACTCCACTCTCCAGTCTATACTCCACCCTCCACGGCTGTTCCACCTCACTCTCCACCTTTTTCCGCCGCACTTTCCTCGCACACCTGTCCCTTCCACTCCACTCCGCAATAGCGCAAGTTGCGTAGTCCCGGCATTCTTTGCCAACGTCCAAAAGCCAGGACAGGCACGAGGATAGCGAGTCTCACTGTCCCATCCCGACCACAGGGTCAGATGCGAGGAAAACACGACCAGGTACGAGCATGGCAAATTGAATGCGCCCTCCAAAAGTGGCGACAAGTGCCAGGATGGCGACCCCAAGCTGTCTCATCCCTGTCAGTTTCCACGCGCAAAAAGGACGTGACTCTCGTAAAAAAAAATACCAAGATGGCTACCCCAAGGTGCAGCATCCCTGTCAGTGTTGGCACTCATGAACTTTTCACACGCCACGAAGCAGCAACGCTTCCCCGCCCCGCCCGGCCCCATGCGCCGTGACTGAATGCACCTTTGACACGCGACGCAGCAGCGACGGTCCAAAAGCAAAAACACCTATACGAGGATGGTGACGGCGCGGACGCCTGGAAATGCTTGTGGACACATGTAGACGCGTTGCGGACACAATGCGGACGCGTGCGCGACGAGTTTGCTCGGCCATAGGTTCCCATATCGCTGCAAACAGGACAACTTCCGCCGAGCACTCAGCAATAGGAAGGTTGCACGGAACAACTAAGCAAGATGGTACTTGTAGCATGACCACACAACGTCGGGAACACTAGGAAAGGGGAAGAGAGGTGTGACTCAACCACGAAGAGTGGACTTACCCGCGCTCTGGCCCAAAGAATATTATAAAGAGAAACAAGATTGGATGCAACCACAAAGCAAAACGGCACTCGTACAAAGAGCACGCAGCAAACAAGCACCAAAAGAGGAGAAGGCGACACGCAACGACCAGGCATAACGTGCTCGGTACCATGACCGTTCAAGGGCATGCACTATCAAAGACGGAGCAGAGGGCGTCAGTACAACCATCGAGCTTCATGATTAATGCCATTCATACCATGCTCATGCATGGGCAGGTTTAGCGAGCACTACAGGAGTGGCAAGGTCTCAATAAGACAAGAAATGGCGTGTTCCAAGACCAGGCAAAGGTATCAAACACAACAGAAGGAGGGAAAGGTGCAATTCAACAACCCAGCATGATGGTGCGTGCCGGGTAGTGATCACTACGGAGGGTCCAGGGAGGTTTGACGCAACGACCAGCACAGTTTATGTGTACCATGACTTTGCAAGGGTTGTGAACACAAAGGGAAGCAAAACCTTTAAAACCACCAGCAGCATGTTCTCCATATTGTGAACTTGCAGAGGTATGGCAAACCACAGAACAAGTAGGGAGGTTTGACGCAACTACCACACGCGTATCATGACCATACAACGGTCGTGAACTGTGAACCGCGACAGACGGAGTACAGCCGGGAAGTTAGATTTCACCACCAGAAACGACGCATCAACAGGTGAAGTAAGGGTAGGAAGGACAGGAGTGGAAAGTAGGAACAGGAGCAGACCCCAACATGTCATATTTCTGAACAGTATGTAGGTGGAACAACGCAAGCACCTATATTGGAGCCAGGAACTTGTTTTGGGACGCCAACAGAAGCATATTATTTAGATGCGGATACATCAGAGGGCATACGCTAGCAAATCATGAAACATCGTGACTTTTCATGAAACCAATTTCAGGCTTCAATCAAACAAAGGAATCAGAGCCTACAACAGCAATCCATAGCAGCACAAATCAAGATAGCTAGATATAACTAGACTTGAGACTAGTGTTGAGTTAGCGGTGGTAGAGCGAACGCTAATAACAATTAACATGCAGTACCAACAGAGGAAAAAAAACAGACGGAAAGAACATCCGACGACCTCATAACAGGAACAATAGCATTACAACTAAACGACACTCTCAGAATTACAATTAATTGAGCAGCCATCCATAATCAAACATCTAGTAGTCTTGGTAATGCTGTTGGAAAGGTGGGTCTCACTAGTTGGGACGCTTTATGTTTCAGAACAGCCATGAATTTCAAGAAGTATGGACACACCGTATAAGTTATCCATCAGCAAAAGCAATGCGTTCGGAGACATAAATATTCCAATGGGACTACAATCATCAACACCAGAGATTAAAGCAACAGACGGACAGGCCATTCTATTAGGACATGTAGACATTGCGCATGCGGATGTATCAGTAAGTCAAAGAGTCAAAATTCATAATTGAGACAGAAACGGACAAATATTATGTCAATTAATAATACTAATAAATTAGGCATGACATCATTTGGTTCTGATGTTTGCGTGTCTCCAACATCAGCAGGAACAGTGACATTTACAGGAACTGGAAACTGTAGTGCTTTAGTTGCAGCATGAGAAACTAAATTCAAAGAAAATGTCAAAGAAGTAAGTGATAAGGGTTGCTATAGAGTTGTTAATTCGTACCATGAGCATGAACATTGAGAAAAAAAGATTAGATGCATCAACCTGGCATGATGTTATTGTACAATCACCAACCGAACATGACGTTATTCCTACGAAACCTCACATTGGACTCCCCCCCTAACCCCCCCTCTCCAAACCTACAAACCCCTCCCCCTCAACCCCCTCAACCCCCTCTGCCCCTCCCCCCCCCTCGGCCCCCCCCCCTCTGAGATGTAACCT